TGGCTAAGAGCCCTGTATCTTCATCGGGAGGTCAAGGGTTCAATCTCGCCGACTGGAATTTTGGTTCTTTTTCTCGTATATATAACTTTTTTTTCTTTCATAAATTTAGGGCTTAAGAGTTGTACTTGTGTATTGTTTGTATCACATTATTCGTCTAAATCAATTTATTGTTATTAAATAATAACTAAGCTCACTAACATCCGACTGATAGTGAGACTGAAAATTAGCATTTCAAAGCAAGCTGAACGGTGCTCCGGATGAAAGATTGAATGCACTAAGAATTTATGGAGTCAAAATATTTCTATAGATATGAATGGATTGATATAACTAACTTGGTACATTGGTGTGTTCGCAGGTGGCTGGAATACCCTCATCCTATAGCTGGGAGTCTGAAACTTTAAAAAAATTAAGCAAATCTTATGAAAGCTTCATTTATTTGTTTGAAATTTTCGATATCAAGCTTTGTTAAGCCTTTTTTTTTTCTTCTTTTTCTTCTTCTTCTTCTTCTTCTTTAAACTTTAAACCCAAACTTACCATCGAGTTTCGATCTTCGAAATAAGGTGCTAGAGTTGTAGGGGAATTGTCGGGATATTCGGAGAAACTCGGCTTCGGGATTTCAGGCTCAAGACGGGCTTCCTAAACTTTTGAGCTTACAGTAAACCCTAAAACAAGACTACATATCTGTTATCCATTACTGACTAAACCTAAAACAAATCTGTAATCGATTACCTATCGACTAACCCACTCACCCCTTCATCGATATGTCCATAGTTCTTCGACTCATCGGTGGCAAAGGAAAACGCGTTTTCTCTAAAATATTCAGATACCAGAAGCTTCACAGCAAAGATACATTTTGGAAGAAAAAGCAAAAGAATCAGCGACGAGAGGAGTCGAACCCGCGACCTCTCTCTTTCGTTCGTTTGAAAGACGCGCGCGCTAACCACTCGGCCCTGTTCTAGTAGATGGCGCAGTGTGAGCGCACTTGTCTCTAGCCCACACGACCCGGGTTCGACTCCCACCCGTGTCGGCACTTTTGGTTTTATAAAAATTTAAAACCATGTTACACAACTACATGAAATTCTAAGCCAAACTAACTATAAATCATTTGAAACGGTCCTCTGGGGGCTGAGGAGTAGAGCGTAGAGACAGACAGACAGACAGACAGACAGACAGACAGACAGACAGACAGACAGACAGACAGACAGACAGACAGACAGACAGACAGACAGACAGACAGACAGACAGGCAGGCAGACAGACAGACAGACAGATAGACAGACGTCTTAGTCCCTTTATATATAGTAGATTTAGGCAATTGTTGAATTATTAAATAGAATTTTTGAATATTTATGCAATGCGAATTTGAAATTTTTAAATTCCTTACTCTTTGTCTTTTCCAATTGGAATCGGTTCTGACTCCTGTGGTGTGGCGGTTGTTGCCTAAAATTTGACCCTTCAAGCTACTGTAACACCGAGCCAGTACATCTTTAAATTATTCATGTTGTTGTTGCACTTTTGATATTCATTTTAAAACACACGAAAAGCTATCGTATTCCCAGGTTTAAATAGTTTTTTTTTTGGTTTACTTTAGTGCGTTGCGACTTTAGATTATTTTCTATGAGAATTTCAATTTCAATATTTCAATGAGAATATCTCAAACTATTTAATTTTTATCTTCAAATATCTCACCGTAACTTTTCCAATATCCGGAAAATCAGGAAATTCATTCTAAAAGGGTTAAATTTTGTTGAAAAATGGAAAAGGGTTCAATTTTGCTAAAGATTTCTAACCGTATCTGAGTCGTGAACTGCTTGACGAGGCGAGTGGTGGCTGAAAATTTGAAATGATTTTGTAGACTAAATACTTTATGTTTAAAATACATTTATCTAAATGTCTATTAACTAAATATCTATTAGCTAAATATCTACCGTAAATACTGTAATAGTACCCCACTCCCTCCCCCCGTACAGCCGCGTAGTCGCAAAAGTTTTTTAGTATTTCATTTTTTTCAAAGCGTCCGTACTTTCAAAAAATGCGTCTTTTGTATGAAAAAATAGCTGAAATTCAGGGCTATTTTTTGATACCAAAGCGCTCGTTGTAGCATAAACCAGTGTCGAGAAAAACTCGTTCAAAGCTAGACTACGCAATACTGCGCACCGTCATTATGAGGGTGGGCTACTATTACAGTATTTACGGTATTAGCTAAATATCTATTAGTTAAATTTCTATTAGCTAAATATCTACTAGCTAAATATCTAAATATCTGTCTTTACCTTCTCCCAAAAATTATAGTAAACCAGGTAAATAAAAGTAAAAACCGCATTTTTGAATGGTTTAGAGAAACGGGATCAATTTAATGCTTAGATATTTATTAATAAAGTTATCAAATATTTCTTGTTTATTTTGATAATTTCTCATATCCTTTTTATCAATCTTTTGACGTTTTCTTTTCTCTTTTGGAAATTGTTATCATACTCGAGTATGATAACAATTTCCAATGGAAAAAAAATTGTTGTGCAGAGACTTTTGTGCTAAAAGAAGGCTACTATGACCTTTTTAGAGCCGCAATTTTTGAAGAAAACATAGCTTCTCTATAGAAATATGGCTTAATATTAAACGGTGACTCTTATAATTAGGTCGTTTTCTAAAACGCGCTCAAAAAGCTTACTGTAAACTATGTGGAAAAGCTACTTGCCAGTTTGACCGGACTGTGTGCGATTACTCTCCACCGTTCTCCCAGTTTAACTGATGTTTGAGTAACACAATTGGTTTAAGGAATGAAGAAGATGAGGAGGATGAAGAAGATGAAGGACCCGGAATCAGGTCCATTTCAACACCATACCTACGAGCCAGTGTTCTAGGAGCTGGTTATTGAAAACTTTCAAATGCGTGTTGTATTGCATTGCTCTCTCAGTTTGACCGCTTTTTAAGTAACTCAATGGTTTAAGGAGATCTAGAATTTGTAGCAAAAATGCGGGCAAATTTAAGGCAAAAATTGATGCCCAAAAAAATTGGGCATAGTGAGGTCTAAAAAGGTGAAGCCAGTGAAGTCGTTCACCGCTCCTTCGCCTTTACGGATCACAAAAGGAAACACCTATCCATCGGCAGCGTGTGTCAGATGGAGATTACAGTGGAGTTACGCAAAAACGAGATGGAGATTGCTCATTTGTGGAGATTACCGTTGCACAGTGGAGTTACGCAAAAGCGGATAAATTTATGGGGCTGGGGCACAACGTTATAATTGTTGACTTGATTGGCAGGGCCGCGCGAACGCAGCCCCTCACGCAAAAATTTAGCTGTTAGCGAACCCCAACTCGGAGCTGCCACACAGGTCAACACAATCAAAACTGCAATGACCATGTCTCACCATGGGGGTCCCGTCTTGATGATCACGAGAAACCCCCCAGTTTATGATGCGATCGAGGGAGGGGGTTAAGCAAAAGACGTGCCCCAAGTTTATGATGCGATCGAGGGAGGGGGTTAAGCAAAAGACGTGCGCCAGATCGAGAGCGATTACGCGGGTGCACAAAGAACACCTCTTCATTCATTTACATAGAGACTCTTCTTTTGCTTTGTAGATGATATAAAAAGAAGATACTCAGCTGTAAATTTGTACGTGGCGTTTTCAGGGTCGGTTGCCCAATTGATTGACGATTGCCGATTGCCCAATTGATTGACGATTGCCGATTGCCCAATTGATTGACGGTGTTTATTTTATTAAATCTTTCAATAAAGGCTTTTAATTTTTATTCCTAGATTAAAAAGCAGGCCTAGAGTTTATAGATTAAAAAGCAAGCCTTTTTATTCCTAGATTAAAAAGCAGATTCTCTTTTCAATTTTTACAAGAATTCGATGCAAAATGAATCATTTATATATGAAGTTTTGTTCTTGTAACGATATTTCAATAACAAACCAAAAAAACCATGTAGTCTGGTCCACTTAGCAAAACTTTTTTGCTCTCTTTCGAACAATTTGATGACATTTCTCAAGATTTCATTCTATACAAAGCTTTTGAGAAAATGATCAAATGAGAAAACCTAGTTAAAAGAGTTTTTTTTGGCTCAAAGGGGATGGCCACATTCATCAGGGTATCGGGAAAAGTGGGGCAGGGAAGAGAAAGAGAAAGAGGGAAAGATCATCTCTCCATCTCTCTTCTCTCCACAAATGTCCACAATCTCTTGGCTTCACTTTTCCTCTAATGACTACTCTTAAAGCTTTTTCTTCTTTTCCCCTTGGTTTTTGGCAAGCTTCTTATCTAGAACCCTTGTCCTTGCTTGTTATCTCTCAACCAACACAAATCTTGTTGTCTCCTACTCGACTCAAAGTCTTTTCTATTTTTCTACTTTTCTATTCTATTTTCTAGTCTATTTTTTACTTTTCTAGCTTTTCTCAAAGTCTGCTTCCCCTCTGCATTCCTCTTCATTTCCTCGTCAGCCTTTCCCCCCTTCCTCTCTACCATTCTTCACCTTCATTTTCCCCATTCCCATTCTTTCCCCTTCGCACTTCTCTCCTTCTCTCCCCTTCCTCCCCTCTTCTCCAACCTCAGCTTCTCGATCCCTTCCCCCTCTCCCGCAGTGCCCATGGGTCCCCTCTCCTCTCACATTCGCCAAATAAGCGACCTCGAGGCGCTTCACCGCCAACGGGCTCTGTTCCCCCCTTTCCCCTCCTCACAAACAACATGTTTCCACCTCAAATCTTTCACCCTGTCCCACTCTTTTCCCCCACAAATTCAATAATATTTGTTTCACCTGATTGAGTTTCATCTCAACTTAATTAATTAGCGCCTCTCCCTGCTAACTGGGTTTGCCGAAAATATCAAAAGATTCTCATTCTTCAACTTTATACTTGATTTTAGTGTATTATAATTTGCATTTCCATAGCGTTTCCCCGTTCTCACTAATCTTTTTCATTCATTGAAATTTTTCTAATTTATTGCGAAATCTATGCGTTGTTTACTTGTTTTGATATTTCAGAGAAAAAAAGAAGACATTTTCGTGGAAAATGGAAAAAGAGCTGAGGAATCGTTGGGATGATGTGACAACATTTATGCAACCGGAAGCAAGGGATCGATGGTGGAATCGGATCGTTGATGCGTATCGATCGAGGCCATTTAGGTAGTGTAAATTGGAGTTAGTTTAAAAAGTTAGTAGCCAGTTAAATGTTTCAAATGTTATCAAGCCAAAAAGTTAGTAAACTGGAATGCGGGTTTGGGTTTGGGTTTGGGTTTGGGTTTGGGTTTGGGTTTGGGTTTGGGTTTGGGTTTGGGTTTGGTTAGGGGCTAGGTGCAGTGCCTACAAGCTAAATATGGGATACGGTAATGAGGTGTTGATTTAGAAATCAATCATTATCCATTAGGGAATTAAAGGCTTCTTTTGGATACTGTTTAATCGTAGGCTATCCAAATACAGTAACGAAATATGGGGTACGGTGATGAGGGTTTGATTTAAAATCAATCATTATCCAACAGGGAATTAAAGGCTTCGTTTCGATACTGTTTAATCGTAGGCTATCCAAATACGGTAATATGGGGTACGGTGATGGGGGTTTGATTTAAAATCAATCATTATCCATTAGGGAATTAAAGGCTTCTTTTGGATACTGTTTAATCGTAGGCTATCCAAATACGGTAACGAGCCATTTAAATGAGAAATATGGGGTAAGGTGATGGGGGTTTGATTTTAAATCAACAGTAAATTTACAGTATTCATCATGGATCATTTATGCATTAGTTTTAAAAATCTTCATCTTTTAGAGGTCTTTCCCATCTATCACAAATGTTTTTTCTTTACGACAAACACAAAGATCAATTGAAGGAACGATATGGATGCGCTGTTGCTATTTTCTTTAAGAAGTTTGTTTTCGTTTTGTGTTTTGTTTTGTGTTTTGTTTTGTTTGAAGTTTTCGGCTTCTATTCTAAATCAATAAAATTCTAGTATTGTCTACGATGCTCATGATTCACAATGCACCGAAAAAAGTGTGCAAGTATTCAACGAATTCGCTCAGGGAACAACGCTTGATCAGGTGAGAGATAAGAGAATTTTTTTTTTGAAGAATTCAGAGGCATTTAAAACTACACTACTGGACAATGAAATATTATATTTGAAAAAAGATCGTCACTTTCGCGCGTCTGTAACTCCCTTGTCTTTACCGTATTTCTAAATATTAATATTACCATTGTGTAGCCATTGAAAAGAGCTTTCAGAAAATGTATAATACTAATAGTTTAAACTCAAAGACAAGGGAGTTACAGACGCGGGAAAGTGACGATCTTTTTTCAAATATAATATTTCATTGTCCAGTACTATAGCATTGAAACTGGGTTTTTGATTCTCTAGAATACTAGTCAATACAGTTTAGAATAGTACAGGAATACATGAAAAAGCAAGCAGAGTTGTTCTAAAAGCAATTTTTCGGACCAAATCAGGTTCTGGCCTTGCTGCAGGTCTGGCCTTGTTGCAGGTCTGGGCTTGCCAATAGTCAGATCTAGACTTGGATTCTGGCTGGGTTCTGTCCTTAACATGGCCAGATTTGAACATCTCTGTAAGCAAATTGATAAGCTGAAAAACTAATAGAATAACCAATAACTTGAAAGTAATCAATTAAAACAATTAGAATTTTCAAAGCTGTAGAAAATTCCTTTTTCAGCAAAGCTATGTGACCGATTTGATCAATCAATCGGCCTCCTCGTCCACTGAAGCCAATTTGACTCCAGGAGCAGTTGGTGGGCTTTTAAAAATAAAACTAATGTCAATTTTTCTATTGACCAGACTCAAAACAAACAACTCTCAATTGTTCTTTGTAAAATAACTTTTCAGGAACCGAAGACGTGCACTATTTGATCGATTTCGATATGGCTTTTCTCGGAGATGAAGATTTTGATCGACATGAGAAAGCGATTCGAAAAGAATATCCCGAACTTTCCGATGAAGATTATCGAAAGATGAGACTCAGGGTGAGGAAAAGAAAGATAACCAAGATTGATTTCCTTTTTTTTAGGTGTTAACCTTTTTCCTTCAAATCCCGAATATCTACGCAACAGCACCGATTCGAGAAGAAAGAGAGGGAAAAGCACGAGAGAATATTCAAAAAGAAATTGGTCTTCTTGAAGCGGGAAATAGAACTTATTAGTATTGGAAAGTTTGTTTAGTTATGTGGGTTTACTTTCTATTTCATTGAACTTTTGGATATTGGTTCTGTTGATTGAATATTTTATGGACTGCATTTAGGATACTGCAGGTTTTTACAAGTGATTTCCTTTAGCGGATCGGGATAGAAGTCGTAATTCGGATCGTAATGTTCTCCCGGTTTAAATGCTGTTTAAGTGGCACAACGGAATGACGAATTTGCATTTAACGGGCTAATTGCAGGCCAAAAGTTGATGCCAGAATCGAGCATCGTGACGCTTAAATACAGTGAGGTCGACCCGCTCGCTCACCCCTCTTTGCCTATCTCAAATTCGAAAACGGAACACCTATCTATCTAGGGCGTGTGCCAGATGGTAAAAGGCATTCTTTGTGCGTAGCCGCACAAAGAATACCTTTTACAGTCATCTACATAGATTTTTCCTTTGATGGCAAAAAAGATATTCAGCTGTGAATTTGTATCTGGGTTTTTGGGGTCAAGGAATCGATTGGCGCTACCGTATTTTCTCTAATAGTAGTGCATCCCGGCGAGCCGAGTTGGTGACTATTTTACGCTTTCCAAGCTTTTGCAGTAGCTCAACACTCTAATCCCCCACTAGATCTCATCGTCAGCTACATTTTCCAATCCCAAATCGATGGGTTCTGATAAGCGGTTCTCGAGATTTCGAGCAATTTAGGCGACGCTCAGGGTGCACTAATATTAGAGAAATTACGGTATTCATTTTATTGAGTACTTTACTTTTCCACATACTGTAGTTTGATTAAAGTATTCAATCAACAAAGCCAACATCAGCATTATCAATTCCAAACCTTGTAGACTCTTTTAGTTAGATTTAATAACCAAGTTAGAAAAAGTTTCTTTTGGGTAATCGAACAATTTAATAATTTTAGAAAACTCATCTAATAAGATTTTCTTTTTGATTGATTGCTTCACTGATATTTCTTTAATATTTAACCATTTTCCATTGAATTTTTACCAAAATAACTGCCCAAATCCCTCATCCAAAATGGCTTTACTCTAAAATAATTTAGAAATCTCTTCTGTGATCTCCATTTCTTTTCTCTCTCTCTCAACGATTTAAATGCTTTTGCTGGGAGTGGGACAAATGCGAGCTTTTTTTTTGCGCACCCGGACATTTGCGCACCTTTTTGTTCCGCACTTAGCCCATTAGCGCACCTTTTTTCGCGTTTTTTCGCGAAATTGGTTAATATTAGCTCTAAAAAGCTAATATTAACCAATTTCTATTCCAAAAGTTGTTTTTCTAGGTAATTTGAGGGCGTAGAATCGAAATTTTGACATATCAGAGCTTGTGGAAACAAACGGACGGAGTTATACAAAGAGAAAAATCTAGATCAAATTATCTAGATCTAGCTAGATCAAATTACAGAAAATTGTCGATTTTTCTCTTTGTATAACTCGGTCCGTTTGTTTCCACAAGCTCTGATATGTCAAAATTTCGATTCTACGCCCTAAAATTACCGAGAAAAACAACTTTTGGAATAGAAATTGGTTAATATTAGCTTTTTAGAGCTTTTTTAAAACGCGAAAAAAGGTGCGCTAATGGGCAAGGTGCGGAACAAAAAGGTGCGCAAATGTCCGGGTGCGCAAAAAAAAGGTCGCATTTGTCCCACTCCCTTTTTGCTTTCTTTTATTCTAATAAAATGCTAGTTTAATCGATTTGAGAAGATAAAGCTTTTGTATTTTAAAAATTTCTTTTACATTGTAAACACTTGAAAAAAAATCTAAGGACTATACTGTAGAAAGAGACGCAAACGGTAAAAGAATCGACAGTATTGCTGATTGATTAGACTGGATTTAACCTCAATACCTAGGTTAACATTGAAAAAGCAAATCTAAACAAGTCAGAATCTATCGTAATCCGTTTTCAATTCTGCATTCCTTTTAATGATGTTTTCTCAAAATTCCAAAGCATCATCCCTCAGACTTTCACGAGAAACAGCAGATTGAAGAGCAGAACAAAAGGATCAAACCGATCAAACCGATCGGCTTCGACGGCTCGAAAAGACGGATTCTGGTTGATGCCTCAGAGAGCTCTTCGATTTTGCCAGTCGACCACTCGATGGATGTTTCATCTTCTGAAAACCTTCCAAGAGCCGAACCAAGCTTAGAAGAGAGCATCAAGTTCTGCTTTAACAAGTCCCATCTCGATGCCCGGAACTCGATCGCTAAAAAGCTCATCAAACGATTTCAAGAGTCGAGCTCTGAAGAGAAACTCGAGTTCTGCCAGAATGTGCCAAAGATTTTGAACTCGAAAAGCGAGGAAATTGAGATAATCTATGATTGGACCAGGACCTCAGTGGCCAACAATGCTCTCGTCGAATCGCAAGAGCTGAACAAAATATTCGAAGCCCTCATAGCCGACGATTTCCGTAATCAGGCAAAAGAGCTGATCGCTGCATACCTCTTTTCGATCAACTACGAGAAGTTGGATTGTTCGTTATGGAAAAACTATCGTTAATCTATGAACGGATCGAGATACTGGAAGAGATCAAGCGGCTCACCTATACTAAGCGTTTCTACGTGGAGAGCTATTTTTCATTCGCAACCAAAGAGGAATGGCTGTTGCTCGATAAGGGTTTTCAGTTGTTTGTGAAGAAGAATCTAAGCGATCCGCAGATTTTTGGCGGCAATTGGATAGAGGTTCGCGGAAAGAAAGTGTTTTGCTTAAAGAATCTGTGGCCTCTGTGGCCAACAATGCTCTCGTCGAATCGCAAGAGCTGAACAAAATATTTGAAGCCCTCATAGCCGACGATTTCCGTAAAGAGTTGATCTCTGCATACCTCTTTTCGATCAACTACGAGAAGTTGGATTATTCGTTATGGAAAAGCTATAGCTTAATCTAAACAAGTCATAATCTATCGTAGTCGTAAACAAGTCCTTTTTCAATTCAGCATTCCTTTTAACAATGTTTTCTCAAAATTCCAAAGCATCAGCCCTTTATCTCATCATAGAAAAGAAAAGAAAAAAATAGAAAATCTTTTCCACCAGAATATAAAAACTATTTAACTGAAATATCTTTTGAGAGATATAAAAGGGACTGAAAAGAAAGGATAAATCAAAGCGTTTCGTTAACAAAACAAGTAAAATCAGAGTAAAATCACAATGTAATTCACCAAAAAAAAAAAAAGATAGATTAGAGTCGTATCGAATTTTAAATTTTTAAATTTTTCAACTTTTTATAATTTTAAACTTTTTCACTAGGCATAAGCAAGCAATTGTTTCTTTTTTTTTCTTATGTACTAATTCTTTCTTATGCTAATCACTTTTACAGTGATTAGCAAGCGCTTTTCGGAAAAATGACAGGGAAATTGGCTCGATTTGGATAGAGAGAAAGAAAGGAGAAATTTTGCATATGAAAACGGCTATAAAGAATTCCAAATTCAGTGCGCTAGATTGGTGATTTTTACAGCATTTTCTCACTCACCAATTTCATATGCAAATTCTCTGGAAAGTTGAGGAAATAACAAGTGAAAGAGATCATTTTACGGGGCCAGGACTTTGGCCAAATACAGTAAGAACACTGAATACTTTAGAAAAAAGGAAAATTTTGATTTTCGACTCATTACAATAGCCCAGTATTCCATAAAAAGACTGAAGAGTTTGAAAAATGTTCAGCTTTGTTTACTAAATACTTTCATCCGGTAGTGTAGATCTTTTACAGTACTCCAAAGTACTCTAGATCCTCTACAGTACTCCAAAGTACTCTAGATCTTCTACAGTACTACAAAGTAGATCTTTTACAATACTCCAAGGTACTCTAGATCTTTTACAGTACTCCAAAGTACTCTAGATCTTCTACAGTACTACAAAGTAGATCTTTTACAGTACTCCAAATTACTTTAGACCTTCTATAGTACACTACAATTCTTTTACAGTGATTTAAGCTAATTTTAGGCTAATTTTAAAGGCATTCAGGGCAATTTCTGTATTTGGGATCGTTCATGGAACAAAAAACTCGATCTGTAATCTTGTAATCTTCCAAAATGAGGAGCTCAACCCCTCCTCGAGTGCTTTAAAAGACCGAGCTCTTTGATCGCTTTGTACTGATCGGGAATCTCCATTAAAGCGTTCAGGGCAAACGACGCTTCCGCATTCGGCGCGTTGAACATCACCTAGAAATTGAGGGGACTCTTTGCGTTAACCAAATGAACAAAACGCATTGTTTGCATTGTCCATTGTTAGACAATGATTAAACAGACAATGATTAAAATCGAGTTCGCGAACGATTCTAGAAAAGACAACGCCTGCAAAAAGTCACCTTGTGGAAATCGACGAAATGGAAATTATCGAAGAGACGTTTTGGGAGAGTCTCATCGAATCTCGTCATCATATTCCACGGTCCATCGCCGACTCCGACCCTAAACCATTTGAAATATATCATCTAGTTTAGTTTATCATTGTTTTTTTCTTACATAATAATTGATAGTGGATAATGACTGGCTGCGGCGATGGCTTTTTGGTTGATTTTCTCGTTTGTTACCTGAAAAAAAATTGAAATCCTATTTGAAATCCTGTTTGAAATCCTTTTTTCACCTGTCCATCAGCTACAATGACAAGAATGTGATAGGAGTGCTTCTCGCGAACGATTTGAATTGCCTAAATGAGTGTTTGAGGAGTGTGAGATGCAGAGTTACTGTAGAAACCTGTAGATTAAACTCATCGCAGTCAAACTCATCACAGAATCCTACTAGGATATTCAGCTCATAAGATTCTACATTATTCCATGAAAGCCAAAAGCCATAGTTTTAGACAGATTATAGTTATAGGCATACTGTAGTGAAGTAAGAGATCGATAAGTGCCAAATAAACACTACAGTATTCCAATAGGATATACAGCGATAACTTTAGATACTACCAGTCCCGCTTTAGTCAGCTTTTAATCGCCAGTTACTCAAGGATACTGTAGATGCTGCCAGTAAAATGCCTCCTTTCTCAAACTTTAAGATACTCAGCCAGCGATAGTTACTATAAGTAAGTTTACTGTAACTTACTGTACTCAGTCACTGTAAGTTTTGTCTATCAAATGCACACAAACCTTGTCGATAAGTGGCACGAAATTCGTCGGTCCACACATTTTCACCGCTGGCGTGATTTGATTGTACACTTGAAGCACTTCTGAAAATTACAATCCATTTTTGTAAACTTCTTTCTTTAAATCCTTTAAATCCTTTAAATTCACCCTCAAATCCATTGCAATCAGTGTCCAGATTGTAGCGATCGCGTAGGTTGAAGATTCCCTGAAGAAAAAAAAGTGATTAGACTACGTTCAAGTGATTAGACAGTCCAAGTGATTAGACTACGCTCAAGTGATTAGACAGTCCAAGTGATTAGACTACTCCCAAGTGATTAGACTACATCCAAGTGATTAGACTACGCCCAAGTGATTAGACTACATCCAAGTGATTAGACTACATCCAAGTGATTAGACTACATCCAAGTGATTAGACTACGCCCAAGTGATTAGACTACATCCAAGTGATTAGACTACATCCAAGTGATTAGACTACGCCCAAGTGATTAGACTACGCTCAAGTGATTAGACTATGTTCAAGTGATTAGACTGTCCAAGTGATGAGACTACGTCCAGTTAGACTTTGGTTACTGTATAGTTCCTATTTAGTTCCTATATAGTTTTTTTATAGTTCCTATTTAGTTCCTTTATAGTTCCTATTTGGTTACTGTATAGTTCCTCTTTAGTTCCTCTTTAGTTCCTATTTAGTTCCTATATAGTTCCTATATAGTTCCTTTTAAGTCTCTATTTGGTTACCAAGTGATTAGATTACGTCCTTTGTTTTTACAAAAGATCAATTCAAAAAGATTCTTCAATATTCGTCGATAAGCTTTTCTTCAAGAATATCTCTTTCTCAAATTTTCTTACTTTATCCGTGAACTCTTCGTCACCAAATCCATAGGCCGGGATCTGACCGTCAGCGTCGAAAGATGAAAGGGTTTTGCCGACAATCTCGATCACCTGGAAAATCAATCTTTTCTTTGAGATCAATCTTTTCTTTTTATATTAGAGCTTGTGATTACAGTAGAGTAAATAACTTTTACAGTGATTTAAGCAAATTTTAAAGGTATTCAGGGCAATGTCTGTATTTGGGATCGTTCATGGAACAAAAAACTCGATCTGTAATCTTGTAATCAAAATGTATCAAAATCTTCTTTTCTTAAAATTCCCCATTTTTCACTCACTTGTTGATAGGGATTCATTTCGCTTTCGTCCAAATTGTGCAGGTTTTTCCCGTCGAACGTGCGCTCACCCTTGAGGATATTTATTTATTTATTAGATAAATATTTAATTAAATATTAAAATATTAGAATATTAGAAAAATATTAGAATGTTCAATGTTCAATGATATTTAATATTTTCTAATATCAAATATCATTTTCTAATATCTCTAACCCACTTGATAGTAGTTAGATTTTGTGTAATCGATTCCGAAGATGAGATTCGAGTACTCGAGGCCAGCCTGAGAATAGATATAAACATTTTTGATATAAATATAGAATATAATATTATGTATAAATATTATGCAATATTTGAAATATTTGAAATACCTTTTGAATTCCTCGAATGATATCTTCAAGGGTTTTGAAATGGGGAATATTGTGTGGTGAGCCGACAGCTAACGCTTGTAGAAGACTGTTTCGACGCACTGGGGCACTGAAAACAACATCGATTAAACATCAATTAAACATCAATGAAAATGAGTTTATAAAGCTTGATCTTTACTTAGATTCTTTGAATAGATAGTTTCCTATTACTATTACTATAGATAGATTCCTATTGCAAGTAAAAAACCATCTTCTGAAAGACTTGGATAGCTCGTAACCCGGCTCGTCTACCGTAGCCCGGCTCGTCTACCGTAGCCCGGCTCGTCTATCGTAACCCGGCTCGTCTACCGTAGCCCGGCTCGTCTATCGTAACCCGGCTCGTCTACCGTAGCCCGGCTTCAATCTCGCTTTTCTCAGTAGTTAATGTTACAGTAAACAAAATGTCAACTACTTGGGGCACTGTAAAAGCAAAACGTTAACTATTTGGGGCACTGCCATCGAGATACGCTAAAAGTGAAGTGAAGAAATTGTGCGACTGTCGGAGAGGGGATTGTACCCATGGCCTTTTGCTTTGCTCTAACATCTAACCTCTGAGCTATTCGGTACCTTCGATAAGTCGGTAAGTCTATTCGGTAGCTATTCGGTAGCTATTCAGTAGCTATTCGGTAAGTCTATTCCTAAGCTATTCGGCAAGTCGCGAAGAGAAAGAGGGAAAGACAAGGAGGACGAAGAAAAGAACAAAGAAGAAAGGAAATAAGCAAAGTCTTACAAAGACGGAGCCTCATTTCGTCGGAGTTCTCTTTGGTGTCCGCTCTCTTTCTTCATCGGTTTCTTGATGATCGATGGCTTTTCAAACTTTGGTTCAACCTGAATATAATAAATTATAATAGATAATCTAAAGATAATAGATTGAAAGAAGTTCCCCTATCCTCCACCTCAATTCCCAATTTCATTTCCAAAGAGTGATCGATTGCTTCCATTGTCTTTTCAGTCACATCTTCGGCAAAGGAAACTCTAAAAGTTTCATTTTTATGTAATTTTATGTAATTTTTCAAAACATTAATCAACATATCGATTTAGAAATGTTTTAGATAAAAAAATTGAACTGATTGAGAGCATTAAAACATAAAAGAATCGTCTGAACAAAATTTTGACTAGACTTACTTGGTCAAATTAATGAAACATAGAGAAGAAAATCAAGTAAACTGGAGCTTCTTACAGTAACCCGTTTCCTACAGTAACCCCTTTCCTACAGCAACCCGTTTCCTACAGTAACCCGTTTCCTACAGTGACCCATTTCCTACAGTAACCCGTTTCCTACAGTAACTCGTTTCCTAATACAGTAACCCGTTTCCTACAGTGACCCATTTCCTACAGCAACCCGTTTCCTACAGTAACTCGTTTCCTACAGTAACCCGCTTCCTACAGTAACCCGTTTCCTACTGTATATAGTTTTCTTCTAGATACTTTCTATCATAGCAAACTTTCATTTCCAATCGTAAACCAATTCTATAAAAGCTCAATTCCTAGTCGTAGTCCATTTCCTAACATAATTCATTTGTCTACAGCAACTCATTGACTACCGTTTTCCAATCTCTACAGTAACCCAGTCTACAGTAACCCAGTCTACAGTAACCCAGTCTACAGTAACCCAGTCTACAGAAACCCTTTTCTACCGTACTCGATTTTCTATTCGACTTTGACCAATAGCAAGCCCAGTTTGAACTTAAACAACTTGACAATGGACACTTTTGAAACTCACCGCCTCACCACGGGTTGAACGCTAAAATTCGGAAATTAGATTTTCATAAAAACTCGCCTTTTTTCCCTAAGAACACCTGGAGAATCGGGGATTTTGTGATCGCGGAGAGCTACTCGAATACTCGGACCGGGAATCTCTCTTTCATCAATCAATTCTCTTTTCACTTTTTCTAACAATTCCTTCTGATCACTCTCTTCTTTCCCTTCTGTCAATCGATCTTTCGACGTACTTTCATAGATTTCAGTCTCAATCAAAGCTTTTTCATCAAAATCAGCTTTCGCAGCTTTCGATTTTGAATCTGTTTTCACTTTTTTCTTAGCCTTTGACGTTTTCTTCAACTTTTTCAAATCTTTAACCAAGAGATTTTCTTTTTCTGGTTGTTCAGCTAGAGCTAGATCACTTGGTTGTTCAGCTAGAGCTAGAGCACTTGGTTCTTCAGCTAGAGCTAGAGCACTTGGTTCTTCAGCTAGAGCTAGAGCACTTGGTTCTTCAGCTAGAGCTAGAGCACTTGGTTCTTCAGCTAGAGCTAGAGCACTTGGTTCTTCAGCTAGAGCTAGATCAATTGGTTGTTCAGCTAGAGCTTCAATTCCTTGTTCAATGGCAGCTAGTTTTCCAACTTCTCCTTTATCTGCCTGAATTCCTGAATCAGTTCCAGTCAATTGTCCAATTTCTATCTCTTTTGCTGATAAAGTTTTCTTTTCAGCTTTTATTTTAGTTTTATCGCTAACCTCAGACTTTTGTTCCGAAGGAAAAAGATCAAAATCATCAGAATTTTGAAGCAAATCCAATGCAATCTCTTTTGTAATCTTTTCGAGATTTCGTGAATGATCAACATTGATCTCTTTCTCCAGAACGGCAGCACTTGTTCTCAGATCAAGCTGTTGACTGCTTAGATCAAGCTGTTGATTGCTTAGATCAAGCTGTTGATTACTTAGATCAGAAAAACTTTCATCTATCGATGTTGATCCTGTTTTTTCAGGGGTTTCAATTTTGGCCTTTTCCATTGTTTCTTTGCTTTGAAATGGGATAAAATGATATGTTTCAAGGTTTTTATTGTCTTCGTTGTCTTCGTTTACATCAATAACTTCCACATTTACAAGCTCATTCAAATTTTTTAGCTTTTGTTTTGTTGTTGTTATTTGTTGATCCTTGCCATCAATCAGAAGTTCACTTTCTATCGAAAATGCATCAGAATGAAAAGCTGTAACTGAGAGATTATCACTGAGAATCTTTTCATCTCCAGAAGAGCTCTCTTTTTCTTTCACTTCATCCAAATCACATCGATTTATCTCATCAATAACATCAGAAACTTCATCAATGACAGTCTTTTCAAGGAGTTTTGTTGAAAGCTGATTTTCCAGAGATTCGTTTACATCAATAACTTCCACATTTACAAGCTCATTCAAATTTTTTAGCTTTTGTTTTGCTGTTGTTATTTGTTGATCCTTGCCATCAATCAGAAATTCACTTTCTATTGATTCATCAGAAAAAGCATCAGAATGAAAAGCTGTAACTGAGAGGTCACTGAGAATCTTTTCACCTCCAGAAGTGCTCTGTTTTTCTTTCATTTCATCCAAATCACGTCTATTTATCTCATTAATAACATCAGAAACTTCATCAATGACAATCTTTTCAAGGAGTTTGGTTGAAAGCTGATTTTCCAGAGATTCCAAAGTGCTAACTTGACCCAACTCATCATAGCTTTTACTATCATTTTCTTGTTTGCTTAAAGCTTGTTCAATTTGAGAAACGGTTTTTGAAAGGCTTTCCCCATCTTGACTCAAAAGCATGCCTTCCGCTGTCACCTCAACTTCTCTCATCTGCTCATTTTCAGTTTTTGAATGAACAATAACTTCAAAATCTTTTCTTTTATCCAAATCAAGTCTTTCTTCCATTTTCTCTCTTTGATCGCTTGCAAAATCTGTCATTCTTATCTCTTTTTCATTTTCCATTTGCTTATCTTTGGTTTCAACTTCTATATCATCTAGTAAAGATGCATTTTCTGAGATCAGTTTTATTTCATTTACAGTTGAATCAAGAATATCAAGAACACTCTTGTCTTCATGATATTCTTCTCCAGATCTCATTCCTTCATTCTCTTCTTCTCCAGATCTCATTCCTTCATTCTCTTCTTCTCCAGATCTCATTCCTTCATTCTCTTCTTCTCCAGATCTCATTCCTTCATTCTCTTCTTCTCCAGATCTCATTCCTTCATTCTCTTCTTCTCCAGATCTCATTCCTTCATTCTCTTCTTCTCCAGATCTCATTCCTTCATTCTCTTCTTCTCCAGATCTCATTCCTTCATTCTCTTCTTCTCCAGATCTCATTCCTTCATTCTCTTCTTCTCCAGATCTCATTCCTTCATTCTCTTCTTCTCCAGATCTCATTCCTTCATTCTCTTCTTCTCCAGATCTCATTCCTTCATTCTCTTCTTCTCCAGATCTCATCTCTTCATTCTCTCCCTCTTTATCTCCTTCATCAATTTTCACAATCACAAGTTCACTCAAATTTTCAGAACTTCTTTGTCTTTCAATTCCTTTCAATCGTTGATCATTAAACGAGCTGATCAGTGAATCTTGATCAGTGAACGAGCTTGAAAGAGTTTTTCCTTCACTACCAACTCTCTCATCACCTTTTTGATTTGCTTCAAATTCTGATATAGCTTTCGATAACACATTCCTCGTCTCCACTTGGTTCACTTCGATTTGATTTCCTTTATGAAGAACCTGATCACTTCCCACTTGTATCTCATAAAGTTGATGATCTTTATAACCCTTCTCAACGTTCTCTTGTATCTTTTCTTGTATCTTTTCTTGATTTTCTTGAATGATTGATTCGAGAGAGATTCCCTCCTCTATTCCTCGATCTTTCCACCTATAGCGCAAATTCTCTAATTTTCGAGTGCGTGCCGGGGTGCTTTTTCGAAAGATTTTGCGTGCTTTTGTGCAAAAGAAGCAAAAAAAAAAAATGTACAAAAAATCCATTACTACCAATCCATTTCTCCTCAAGATGTTAAGAAAAAAGCTGGCTTATTGAAACTGTAACATTTGACTATTGATGCTTATTGATGGCTTATTGAAACTGTAACATTTGATGAACATTTGATGAACAATATAGTAATTTGAAGTAAAAGTTGAAAAGATATTCAGTTGAAAGACTAAAATCTTTTTTTTATATCGTCTCAGCTTTGTATTTAACATCTTGATGAGAAAATTGATTTTTTTGATTTGATGAGAAAAATAGAGCTTCTACGTGTTAGGGTGCCGCTATTTTGTTGAGAGTCGCGAGAAGTTTCGAAGGAACAATTTCTAACGGATCAGAGAAGTTTTATTTGTAAGTTTGATTTCTTTTGAAGCCTTAATATACTTTATTTTTCTACTTATAACAATATTTTATTTATACTTCTTATTTATTTCACTTTGTTTTCAAGGAAAAAGATTCGGTTCAGTTCATTAGGGGATTTGTGGGGAGTGGAACAAATGCGACCTTTTTTTGTGCGCACCCGGACATTTGCGCACCTTTTTGTTCCGCACCTTGCCCATCAAGCGCACCTTTTTTCGCGTTTTTTCGCGAAATTGGTTAATATTAGCTCTAAAAAGCTAATATTAACCAATTTCTATTCCAAAAGTTGTTTTTCTAGGTAATTTTAGGGCGTAGAATCGAAATTTTGACATATCAGTGCTTGTGGAAACAAACGGACGGAGTTATACTAGATAATTTGATCTAGAAAAATCTAGATCTAGCTAGATCAAATTACAGAAAATTGTCGTTTGTTTTCTAGCCGTTTTGTCTTTCAAATTGGTTCCACAAGCTCTGATATGTCAAAATTTCGATTCTACGCCCTGAAATTACCTAGAAAAACAACTTTTGGAATAGAAATTGGTTAATATTAGCTTTTTAGAGCTAATATTAACCAATTTCGCGAAAAAACGCGAAAAAAAGGTGCGCTAATGGGCAAGGTGCGGAACAAAAAGGTGCGCAAATGTCCGGGCGCGCAAAAAAAAGGTCGCATTTGTCCCACTCCCGATTTGTGTCTTTAAAAATTTCCCTATGAATAGCCATAGTAGACAATTTTAGTCAAGATTTGTAGCTAAAAAGTAAAATTTGGATATATCGTAAATACTTTAATAGTCGCCCACCCCCCTCGTACAGTCGCGTAGTCGCAAAAGTTTTTTAGTATTTCATTTCATTGCTTTTTTTCAAAGCGCCCGTGCTTTCAAAAAATGCGTCTTTGGTATCAAAAAATAGCCCTGAATTTCAGCTATTTTTTGATACCTAAGCGCGCATTGTAGCATAAACCAGTGTCGAGAAAAACGCGTTCAAAGCCAGACTACGCAACACTCCGCACCGTCATTATGGGGGTGGGGTACTATTACAGTATTTACGGTAGGTTCATTGCATCAGGGGATTTGTGCCTTAAAAATTCCACTATGAATAGCCATAGTAGACAACTTTTAGTAAAGATTTGTAGTTAAAAAGGTTCAAAATCATATCTATATTAAGGCTTCTTTAGATTCTCGATTCTACAGGGTCACCAAGAATTACCGCGACAACTTTTTGGAAAACTATCTGGGAAATGTCTAATTTATTTCAAAAGTGTGGCAAGTTTTATACAGAAAATTGTAGGCCTAATTCTCGGCAACATTTATCTACCAAAAACATCCCAATTGGACTAATAGAGCTGATTTAAGAAGCGCTTTAATGAGCGCTAGTCGACATCTCTCCGGCGAATCTGTCATTTGGCCACTTTTCTCTATTAAAAATTATTAAGAAAAGGTTTTCAATATTTGTTCAATGCAAAAATAGCGTTTAATATTACTTAATAACATTAGGAATCACACTTAAATGGCTGTTTTGTTTTGGCTGGACTGGCATAACCAAAATTTAAGTTGATGTCAAGCTCCTTTTGGAGGAGCAGGGAAAGTTGAGTATTTTGAGTATCGATATTCATTTCATATGCGTATCTCGAAAAAGCTGTAATAAAGAAAGAATTGTAGATTAGATTGAACCTGGATTGAATCCTCAACCTTTTGTTTACAAGCAATTACTTTAACCATTAATTTAAAGATACTGTAAAGTGATATCAAATCTCTATGGTCCATTAGGCATACTGCAACTTCGCTATCGTTGATAGCAACAAGTTGTTTAATTAATTAATCATTAATTTAAAGATACTGTCAAGTGATATGATATTTTTTCATTTAGAAAAGTGGCCAAATGACAGATTCGCCGGAGAGATGTCGACTAGCGCTCATTCAAGCGCTTGTTAAATGAGTTGCATAAGTCCAATCGGGATGTTTTTGGTAGATAAATGTTGCCAAGAATTAGGCCTACAATTCTCTGTATAGCACTTGCCACACTTTTGAAATAAATTAGACATTTCCCAGATAGTTTTCCAAAAAGTTGTCGCGGTAATTCTTGGTGACCCTGTAGAATCGATATTTCGAAAATTCGATTTAAAAACTTCGATTCAAAAATTCGTTTCCCACCTCAACGAATCTTTCTGTGAGACTTCGATGTGTTGATCGTGCAATGTTTGGTCACATATCACCGTTGAATCGAGAAGGATTACCGTCTCTCCAGCACGTTCTGCAAAAACAAATCATCATTTAAGAACTAGTTGTTAGCTGAATGCTAGCTGAGTTTCTCAAATTTCTGAGAGCCTAGGGGAGACACACGGCACGGCTCTCATTGTTGTTTCGTTGTTATCCAAAAAAAAAAAAAATGAAAGAGTCAGTGGGGATTTGTAAAAATGAAAAAACTTCAGAAAAAATTCCGTATTTGTTCGAATAGAAGACCGGGTAAAGAGTATGATCGCGTACTCCTGCGTAGCAGCCCTTTTTAAAATTTCTTTTCTGCATAAAAGCTTTCAATCAAGTGCTATCGGGCTGGAAAATGGCTCAAAAATACCACATGAGCTAACAGATTTTTGAGTCATTTTTGAGCCATTTTCCAGCTCTATAGCACTTGCTTGAAAGCTTTTTGGCAGAAAAGAAATTTTAAAAAGGGCTGCTACGCAGGAGTACGCGATGATACTCTTTACCCGGTCTTCTATTCGAAGAAATACGGTAAGTTGTTGGGTTTTTTTGCTATTGGAAACATGCTAAAATTGTTGTAAATTGAAAGTTTTGGGTGAAAAATAAAATCGGATTGGGATGAGTGTGTGTGGAATTTTTTTGGCCACGCGCGCACCGTGTGTCCCCTTGAATTTTTGTAGAAAAAAAAAATCGAATATGTAAATATATTTTATTTAATATATAAGAAAGTTTTTAAAGACTTTACTTGAAGGTTTTTCGATAAATATCTATCTTATCAATAAGCTTATCAATAGGCTTATCATTAAGCTTGTCATTGAGCTTGTCATTGAGCTTATCATTGAGCTTGTCATTAAGCTTGTCATTAAGCTTGTCATTAAGCTTGTCATTGAGCTTGTCATTAAGCTTGTCATTAAGCTTGTCATTGAGCTTGTCATTAAGCTTATCAATAAGCTTATCAATAAGCTTGTCATTAAGCTTGTCATTGAGCTTGTCGCTGAGCTTATCATTGAGCTTGTCATTAAGCTTGTCATTGAGCTTGTCATTGAGCTTGTCATTGAGCTTGTCATTGAGCTTATCATTAACCTTATCATTAACCTTATCATCAACCCTATCATCAACCCTATCATTAACCCTATCATTAACCCTATCATTAACCCTATCATTAACCCTATCATTAACCCTATCATTAACCCTATCATCAACCCTATCATCAACCCTATCATCAACCCTATCATCAACCCTATCATCAACCCTATCATCAACCCTATCATCAACCCTATCATCAACCCTATCATCAACCCTATCATCAACCCTATCATCAACCCTATCATCAACCCTATCATCAACCCTATCATCAACCCTATCATCAACCCTATCATCAACCCTATCATCAACCCTATCATCAACCCTATCATCAACCCTATCATCAACCCTATCATTAACCTTATCATTAACCTTATCATTAATTATAAATTTTAAGATACTTAGCTAATCAAATGTTTTCCAAAAATTCTGTAAAGTCTTCAAAAATTTTCTTTTTTTTGAATAAAAGATGTTCCTTTTGAGTAAAGTGTTTTCTAAAACGTTTCTACTTTCGAAAAACTATCGTAATCTTGAATACAATACTTACTTTGTAGTCTACCCTAATCTATAAGTTAAGCTGAATCACTTTATTCAGCTATTCAGCTTAACTGATTATCTACTTTTTAGATCTTTCGATGCCTTTGTGAAATCTAAAATCAAATAAGATAGAAATTTTCAAAAAAAGGATACTGAAAGATATAAAAAATAGATCAACTGAAAAAAAGATTACGATAGTTCTCGAAAAATGACGCTTTAGAAACGTATGACTCAAGAGAAACCCCTATGACCCTCACCCAATGCCGCGATCTCCTCCAAGACGGATCTCTCCCTTTCTTGTATCGACTCTTCATGTCTCAATCTCTCCATTTCCCTCGCTTCTTCCCTTCTCCGAATCTCATCTTTATCCACTCCTTTCGTGCTCAACTCCATCTTTTCCGTCTCCGCCACACACCATTCCGCGAATTCGCCCTTTGATCGGAATTGTGTCCCTTGATTTGTCAACTCCATATTCATATGGAAGTGTACTTCTTGCGAGCGTCGAGCGCCGAAACCGGCTGGCTCATGTGTGCCGGCAACGTGCTCCAATCTCGACGCGATCAACTCAGTCGTCTGCTGATTGATGTCTAAATTCAAATTGAACATCTCTTCTTGACTCCTCCTTGCTCTCAATTCAGCTTCTTCTTCTTCACTCAATGGCCGTAATCCTTCCGACGGCCAATCAGCAGCTCCACCCTTGCGAATGTCGAGATCCAATGTGAACTCGGTTTCCTGTGCAGCTTCACATTTCACCCCAATCGCTTCTCCAATGCTCGGGATTTCTGAAGAGATTGTCACATTGTAGCTTGTAGTTTGTTGGCTGAAATCGCAATTAATTGAATAATGATGTTCTTCAGTGGATCGACAGCCGAAACTCTCTTGTTCTTTGTTTTGAATCGGAATCATTCGATCAGCTTCTTCTTCGCTGAATCTTTTATCATCAAGCTTTTTATTTCTCAATTCATGATGTATTGTGATCTCTTTTTCTTCAGCTTGTCTTGATCCATGAGCCGCTTTTTCTAGATTTCCGATCGTTCGCACCGTTTCCGATATCTGATTGCTGTTTTCGAGCTTTGCCGCTCTCGCACTCTCAATCGAAATCTCAATCGATACATTCAATTCTTGTGTGGCTTTACTTCCAAAGAAGATCTTCTCATCTCTCGATGTTTTTAGAATCTTCTCCGAATTCTCTTTGCCTTCCTCTTTTGTGAATGTTCGACTCACCGTATCTGGTTTCTCTTCTTTTGCCGCTTTACATCCGATTGTCAACGATCCTCCAAATCTTGGCTCATCCTTTGTAATCTCTGCCTGAAGATCTCTAACTCCTTCCTTGACTAGAGCAAAGTTCATCGACACATCCGCTTCTTTCGACTCACTGACTCTCATCGTAACGGGTTGTGCGCGATTCTTGTCAACGATAACAATCGATGCAGATGCTGTTGAGGGTTTTGGATTGACGACATTGTGATCGGTGGAACTTGAGCGTTCAGAAGATGCACCGGAGGAGAAAGAAACCGGTTGAGCTTTGTTCGATGTTGTCTTTACTGTCATAGTTTCTTGAATCGACGATTTTCTCTCATAAATTGGGTGAATGTCCACCGATTTTTCCTCGGCTTTCCTCGTTTCCAATTTCAATTGTCCCCCATTTTGCGGGATTTTCACTGTCAAATCGATTTCTTTATGCTCGTCTTCTCGTTTCCACTGAATATTGTTCACAATTTCCAGCGAAGTCGATTCTTTGACCGCTCTCGAAATCGGTTCTCCAATCCGTTTAGCGATAATCTTTTCGACTGTTGTCTCGTGAGCATTTGTTTTTTGGAATTGACAAGTGGCGCCGGTGATTGTTTCTTGTGTAGCGGAAGCAAATTTCTCCAACGGATTCGCTTTGTTCGCAATGATTTTCTTAATCTCCGCATTCATCTCTAACACTTTTTCCTTAGCAATCGTTGCCTCGACGACGACATCGGACGACTTTGATGCATTCGTCCGCAGCACAAAATTCCCTCCATAATTCGCTTCTCGTCTCGTTTCTGCAAAAATCTCTTTTTTCTCTTCTCGTGCATACATGAAATTAGCCAAAACGTGAAAAGAGGTGGATTCATTGAAATCCCTTTTGACTGGTGGATGCGTGTGTGCGGTCAGCCGTAAGCTGTCCACTTTCTCGTGGTATTGAGTGCGGCAAAGATCAACCGAAGTCGATGTGGTTGCATAAAGTGCGCACGCGCAGTGCAATTGCTGTGATTGTGCCGTGTTGCGCGCGGTGAGCGTCACCGCAGTGCTCAATAAAATCGGTTTTGGGTTTTCGAGGTGCGGTGCGATTTGCACATGCCGATCACCGGCTGCGTACTTTTTAAGAGGAGCAATCTGAGCGCTTTGATTCGGAATTTGAGTTGTTTTCTCTGCAACATTGGTTGATGCTGAACGATTGAGCTGAACGGTGAGATTCTCTTGAACTTCGCCGGCTTCAATGGCACGAAATTTGACGGGTTGAGCTTTGTTGTGATCGCGAACGGAGATGCGTGTCTCTTCAATAGAAGCTGGCTTCTCCCAAACATACCCAATGTCAATTGTCTTCTGTGTGCTTGAATGAGCAAATAGAACAAGTGGAGTAGCAAGATTTGGACAAATGATAAGCTTTTGTACGTCAATTGCAGCCAATCGAGTGGAAGTCAATTGACCGGATAGAGAAGAAAGAGATTCTTTGCTAGAAGAAGTCGACAATGATAAAGCGCCGCCAAAACGGCGTTCTACAATCGTTTTTAATAATGTGTCTGATTGTGGATCTTTTTGATAAGCCCAATTTGTTGATTCATGAATTTGTGAAGTTTCTCTGGCCGTGAAAACAGTGATTTGACCTTTGTTTGGCGCGGAGATCTTTATATTTTCCTCATAAGATTGATTTGCTTTATTTAACACTGTATAGATTTCACAAATCTTATTGGAAGTGGCAATTGTTCGGAAATCAATCGGAGCTGCTTTGTTTCCAATAATCTTCAAATTCTCAGCTAACAATGAGGTTGGTTTCTGTTTTTGTGTGTCCACATTGACGGTGATTTCTTTGAACGAAGTAGCAATTGAGGTCAATTTAAACGATCCACCAAATCTAGCCTCAATGATCAACTTTTCTTGGCTCAAAAATGATTCTCTTTTACTTAAATGAACATTCGTTGTCTGTTGCTCGGATTTGCTCTCTTTCACCTTGAAAGCAATCGATTGTCCTTTGTTTTTCGCGTGAATCACTTCGCGAATGGTTTCTCTTTCCGATGATTTCGACAATTGTTGATAGATTACAGAGATCGCGTTGCCCGAAGCACTTGCATGATAGGCCAATGATTTCGCTGTGTTTGGCACAATGGTTTTGATCTCGATCTCTCCTCTTGCCAATCGTTGATTGCTCAACTCAATCGTTGTCTCGATCGCTTTCTCTTGTGTCGCTTTCACATTAAAGTCTTGTCGTCCTCCGTCTCTCGCTTCTCGCAAAACCTTGTCTAAATAGTGATGTTGTTCTTCTTTTACATAGATTGGATTTAGAATTTCTAGTGTGTCCACAGCTTCAACCAATCGTCGCTCGATAACACTCAGATTAGGCGCATTAAAGAGTCTTTCGATTGCTTCTTTACTGCACACTTTCACATAATCTTCAAAAATGTTAATTCTGATATTGGTTGAAGCTTTAGCAAAGAAAATGGCTTTATCCTTGGTGAGACGAATCGCCGCTTGTGAACAATGAATCGTCAAAGGTTTTGCGGTGATTAGTTCTCGATTCACACTGATTTCATGCTCTTCACATGCATCGAATCTTTTTCGATAATTTCCACCAAAGATCGCGATTTTACGAGTGATTTCTATTTGAGAGGTAAGCGATGGCACAGAGAATTGCGCGCAAGTCGTTTGCTTCTCTTCGCGACTTTCTTTAACATGAATTTTTATGGGTGAACATTGATTTGCAATTGTGATTGTTAGTTGTGCGCTTTGTGCAGGTGCGGGTTCGCGCAAGAAATTCGTGGGAATTGTTTTGATCTCAATTGTCGCTTGTTTAGTGGAAAGGGATAGTGGAGGGGTATGATTGAAATCGACAACGAGAACGTCGACCGTTTTAAATTCGAACGGTTTAGAGAGTTCGGGAGAAGATTTTATCTCGTTTTCCTCGGCAGCATCACAATTTAAAAGTTGTCTTTCGATTCGAGGAATTGCATAAATTTTTGAGAGATAATCAATAGATTGAGGTTTCTGGAAAGAGCAGAAAGTTGTGGTTTGAGTTTCGGAGAGTTCGCGCAAATTGATGAAAGCTGGAGAACAAGTCTGAGCACATCGACGAAGAGAGTCGAAAGAAGCTTTCTGTTCACTCTTTTGGAAACGTTCTGTCGTCTCGAATTGAACAGTTGTCGATTCAAGAACTCTCATAGATAATTGAGCTTTTTGTTTCTGAACATATCGATGACGAATGTGTTCAAGAAAACCGCTTCGTACTAAAGCTTGTGTAAGCTCACGATACACATCAGATGATGCTTTCTTTGATAAATTGTATTGTCCACCGAATCTCTTATCATTGACTGTCACATGATGAATGTGAGTTTCTGGTTGAATGTTGAAGATTTGACCGATCGCTGTGTGATTTTCTTGTGACTCTTTGTATCTAACGACAAGAGATTCACCTTTGTTACCAATTACAATCAATTTCTTAGCTTCTTCAAATAATTCAGGAATCTCAAAAGAATTGTTGATGATAGCTGTTATTTCAGTCGAAGCTCTTGTGATCAATTTCACACCTTCATGTGTTCTCGAAATCTTCTTCTCTATTTCCGTCTCATCAAAGTTTTGATGTTTGTCATTGATTTGAGCATAAAGTACACACGATTCATCACCAAACTCCTCAACCTCGAGACTCGCCCCTTTAACTTCATTTGGAATCCTCCATTCTTTGATCAAAAACTCTTGTCCACCCTTTTTCCCAATCAATTCCACTGCAAGCTTTGTTCTCTCATCACCAGCTTCTTTGAAACTCTTTTTCATCGACTCTCCTCGATTCGTTGCCACAATCATTCGATCAATCCTCAACATCATCGCCTCTTTCTTCCACTCAACCGAATGAATGACAGATTTATCGACTCCTTGGATGCGTAATGGTTCTACTGAAATTGAAAGAATTTCTGCGAGAATCACCTCATTCTTTTGCGAGGGACGAACGATATCAACTCGATGTAAATTTATAATAGCCTTAAGTTGGGTTTCGCTCGTCTCGTGAAACTTTCCAACGTAATACTCAAAGTTTTTGCCAGAAAGTGTGCAAATGAAATCGAGAGATGATTTGTGAGAGGAAACAAGCGAACACTCCACTCGAGAATCAGCAACAGAAAGCTTTTGAACAAAGGAGTCTTTTGGGGTGAATTTGAGAGTGATCTTTGTCTCGGCGCTGGCCACAAAGCGTTCTTTAAAAGTGTTCAGGGTGATCACTTCTTCAGTCGATGTTGGAGTTGAGAAAACGAAAGACGAATTCAATTTTCCTAGTCCACGGATGGAGATCTCAGCGTCAAGGTCACGATAAACACCAATATATTCAGATAAAATCTCGAATTCGTCATTGTCTAACTCTTTAAAATGCTCAACGCTTTTCTCGCGTAAAGCGGCTTTAAAAGTACGAATTGTTTCTTGCTGAAATGATTGCTGTTTTGTCAATGATTTACTTGCCTCAGCTGAGATATCAAAGCTCTGTTTTGAATGCAGAATCACTTGATCTTTCAGCTTTTGTTTTCTACTAGTTGATGTGGATTCGTCACCTCTTTGCTTTCCCCGAATTTCAAGCTGAGCAAACGCTTGTGACTCTTTAACAGCCACTGTGTTCATCACTTGTTTAAACGAGGTATCAACATGAATCACATGATCAACTAATTCTTTTGGTTTTGGCAAAGATTTCTTTACCAATTGAACACCAGCTTTGATCTCTTCTTCAAGAAATTCAGGGAAATCAGCTTTCCATTCTTCGTGTCTTTTCTCTTGAAGAAGTGATTCGACTTCAGTGAAGAGATCCTCATGTCTAAGTGATGTCTCACACTTAATCGTTGGCTCGCTTTCAGTAGTGAGAAGACTTTTCCCGTCAACTGATGAAGTAGTGAAAGCAGGGGTTGATCGAAGAATCTCTTCAACAGGGAAATCTTTTCGAATCTCTTCAACAGAGAAATCTTTCCGAATCTCTTCACTCACTTTTATCTGAAGACTTTCTCTTTCAGTGATTGCTAGCTTTTGATGATATTCAGTCTCGATTTCATCAAGAATTGTCTCCCAAGTCGAATCAGTCAATCGCTGACTCCAATCCAATTGCTTACACTTGAGAATGTTTCTCTCAAACATTCTCTCTTTTACTGTAATCTCAGCAAACAATTCGCATAACTCTTTACGAAATTCTTGACAGAAATTCACATTCTCAACTTTCATTGCATTTAAATGACAGCTTGACACAAGCTTAACGCATTCTTTCTGCGTTTTCGTCGTCAACTCGTCGACTTTCGTCGAGTTGAGGTCGAAATCGCTTGAGATTTGGATGAATTGCGCAGCTTCTTTCCTCAGCTCTTCTATCCATTTCCTTGCTTGCGGTCGATTTTTCTCCACATCTTCCGCTTCAAATCTTTTCTGAATGATTCGTCCGAACAAATTGCAAATCTCAATCGTTTTTTCAGAATATTCATTGAATGTGGCCACATTTCGATCTTCGCTTTTTCCTCTGAAATCGATTCTCGCTTCGATGTCTTTCGGCTGAGATTCACGACTTCTCTCCAAGATTTCCACATTTATAATCTCAATCTCAAAGCGTTTATCCACCGATTCACCTCTTTTCAACGGTTTCTCGATTTGCGCTTGACGATAAGCCGCCTTTTCAAGTGACATATAGGCGCCAATCTCGGAATGAATTGGAGCTTTGATCGAAGCTTGATTTGTTTCTAAACTCATCTCTCTGAATGTCTTACTTTCTTTCAAATCATTCACAATCGTTTCATAGTTCGAGAAACTCATATTCTCTTCTGTTGGGAGAGCTGTTTTCTCGACTTTTTCTCTATTCTTCTGCTGCAATTCGATTAAAGCTTCACGATGTTCGAGAGCTTTCTGGAAATCTTCAATCATTTGTTCAACCGATGTCTCGCGACTCGCAAAGAATTGAGCCTCTTTTCGGAGAATATTTTTGACTTGTATATTGTGAATACTTTGATCACACTCAGGTAAACGATCGAGCTCATGAATGATCGATGAAGAGATATTCTGTGAAGCGAGGGTTCTCAAGAATTGTCGGAATGTTCTCGCGTCATCGAATGTCGACATCGATTCAGCGGATTCAGCTTCTCGACTAAAGATTCGACCAAAAAGGCCACTTGTCACAATCTCTTCATCACCTAACTCTTTCAAACGTCTCTCCACACTCCCCTCAACGTGGGTATCGATTGTGAACGTTGTTTCCGATCTCGAGGATTCTCTCGAGAATCTCGAGTCGAATGTGTGCTCATCGAGGCTGAATTGGCGTTGAGCTCGCTGTGAGTCCACAATTTTCTCCATTAGTTGATAGTTTGCTTCACCTTGTGTCATCTTGTCAAACTCTTGACTTAAATTGATCGACTCTTGCTTCGGCGCTTGCACATTCAACATTTTCGTCTCATCTCTTTTCTCTTTCCATTGCGCTTTTGCTTCTTGATTTGTTTGAACGACGTCCCAAACTGTTGTCAAGCCTTGAATCTCTTCAATCAATTCTTTATAAGCTTTTGTCGCTTTCTCTCGCTCACTTTCTTTTACAGATTGACTCGTCTCTCCTTCAACACACTTTGCTCGTTGAAGCTGAAGAGCGATCTCTTCCAAAATCGTGGCTTGAGTAGAGAAGACTTCATTCTTCAGATTCAAAGCATCTTTCGTGACATCAGCATATGATTGTGCTTGTGATCTTTGCAGACTTGCTTCCAGAATCGATTCAATTGCTTCAACAATGGTGAGCTCTGTCTGAGAAGATCTTGTCTCAATGAAAGTCCTCTCCTCGCTGAGCTCTCTCTTTTCAGAAACCGTCAATCGTTGATAATCGGTGGCCATTGTTGCAAGTGCTGTCGGTTCTTCTGGAATTGGTTGTAGTTGGGTTTTCCTTACACATTTCATCTCACCAATCATTTCAAATCTCTGCTCAGATTCTAGCTGACTTGCATCGGTTACCGCTAACTTCAAGAGACGATTCTCTTCTAAGATTCTTATTTTCTCAAATTCAATTGCCCATTTGAAATCACAATGCAAAGTTTGACTACTTGTTGAGATTTTGATAGTTTCAGCTGAATGTTCTTTCTGTTGTTTCTGTTCAAGTTTTCCTACAATAACTTTTAAATTCGTTTTTTCATTATTGAGCTCATTGATTGTTTCAAGTTGTTTAAGAGTGCATTTCTGGATTTCAGTTGATTTCAGTTCTTCAAAAGTTGCCTCTTCATCAAAAGGCTCAGATTTGAAAGTTTGCGAGAATTCGGCTCTTTCAAAGCCTAAACTCGAGACATTAGCTTCTCTAGCAGCTGAACGAAGCACAATATCAACAGCCAATGATGGTCGTCGATTCAAGACAGCTTCGGCAATCGATGTCTCTTCACTTGACGCTAAAGAAGCCAGGGAAACCGAGTCAGCTGATCTTAGCGGTGATTTCAACAACTTATCCGCATGCTCACTGAGATTTGTGCTCCAAAAACCGTAAAGATTTTCTTCGCGCATTTCTGAGAATCTTCCCTCACTTTGTGCCCGAGTTTTCTCTTGAATTGATTGCTCGGTGAACAAAAGATCACGTACAGTCACTCGATGCACCTCACACATCATCATGATCACTTCTTGAACGATAGCTGCGGTTTTTAAATCAGTGCTTGCTCCGATTCTCTCTTTAAGCTGACGAACGGCTTCTTTTTGAGCCATTTCCCTGACCAGATTACATGTGCATTCTTGTTTCGATTCAACTGGTGCTGACATTCGCAGTGATAACGATTGACGTAAATCTTGTGGAAATTCGATTTCGGTTTCTTGTGATTCTGGCTTTTTTGGTTCGAGATAACCGAGATTTGCCAAAGTGCCAAGTTTCTTTTCACCGAACTCTTTCAATCTCATCTCTGAAGAGTCAAAGAATGAATCGGCTTTTGTTTCTTCAGCCATTCGATAATGTTCTCTTTCCATTGAGATTAAAGTTGTTTCTTGCGAATGTCCGTATTTAAAATCAACAGCTTCCGATGGAATGAATGGGATTTCATTCTCAGCTCTCAGCTTATTCACTGCATTCAAATCAACACTTGCTGCAACGGTTTCATTGGATGGAGCGCTGAGTTTGGCTTCGATTTGCTCCAACTCTGATAGGCGAACTTTTAAAGAAGAATCGTTGTCTTGAAGATTTGTGGAAACAAAGAGATGAGAGGACTCGTCTTGGCTCTCTTTTAATGTAAGATTTTGAAAATCTTTGAGCTTTTCTCTCAAATTCACATCAACTGGCTCAGTTTTGTCTTGAGCGATCAACTTTTCTTCAGTTTTCGTTTTCTGATCGCTAAAATTTTTCAAAGCTTGCTCGGTGAGCTCTGATTTCTGACGAACAACAATTTCCTCTTCTCCCATTTTCTCTACTCTCTCAATGTTGAGATCTTTCAAAGTTACTGATGAAATAGAAGCCTTTGTTTGAAGCTTATCACCAAGTTTCACTTGTTCTTCAAGAGTTACATCTACTTCTTGAGCTTCCGATTTTCTTGGAGAAATCTTTGAAAATCCGGAAAGCCCAGCTTCCACACTTTGTTGCTCTTTTAGCCGGAAACTCACTTGATCGGCAACTTTTTCATTTACAATATTTTCCACCAATTCTCTTGAATCAACTCTTTTTGAATCAGCTTCTATAAAAGTGTCAGTCTTGACGTTGAACAATTCAAACTTTCGCTGAGCTTTCTCTTTCTCCTTTTCCGGTAAATTTTTCGTATAACTCTCTTGAATAATTTGATTCTTGTAGACATCGATAAGCGACGATTCAACAGAAGCAGCTCTTGTATTGAGTGAATGTCTCTCGCTCACAAGTGATCTTTCCCTTCTCCTCACCATCACTCCTTCATCATTCTCTTCAGTTGTCACAAATGCACAAGCATAGTTCTCGCTCACTTGTGGTATTTCTCTCAAAGAGGCCATTGATTTCGATCTCTGTAATGGGATTTGAACAATCTGTGCGCCCATCTGTTGAAGTGTTTCAGAGTTCAATCTGACAACCGCCGAGAGACTTGATTCTCTCGAAGCGAGCACTTTTTTCTCAAAACTTTCTTTCCTTGCCAACCTCCTTGTGATTCCCATTTCACAAATTGGCGGTTTTCTTTCCAAATTTGTTTGTGAATCGATTCTTCTCATTTCAGAAGCTTTCATTTGAAGTTTTGATTCCGCTACTCTTGAAGTGACCAACTCCAGTCCAGTTGCTAGATTTTGAATCGATCTCTTTGACAAGCTTTGGTTTAAATCAAATTGACTTCTTTGAAATTCTTTGGTTTTGAAATTGATTGAACTCTGTGATTTGAGTTGTTCTCGAAGTTTCCCTTCAATCCTTCCATCATCATGTCTTTCTTTAGCGATTCGCATCTCCGAATTGCTTCTCACAATTCGATAATTTCTCTCGGCTTTCTCGTCGATTTTCTGCTTCGAAGCTGTGCTTTTCTCAGCATTCATCGATTCACTTCGACTCAAAATCTTTTCGAAATTGATCTGTTCAATCGAAGGAGCTTTCGTTGATAGAGATCTCTGTTCTCTGATCAACGAGCGACTCCTCCGAATCCCAGACACACCTTCAGTGATCTTTTCCGATGTAACAAAAGCTGCTATAAAGTCTTCACTTTTGCTCGGGATTTCGCGTAAAGTGATCATTGATCTCGATCTCATCAATTGTTTCATCGAGTTCTCGGTGTGTTGCAAAGATTGCTCGAAGTCTAGATTCACCAATGACATTGTCGAGGCTTCTCTCGATGCTCGAAAGTTATTCGCAATGGTTTGCCGAGATTTTTCGCGATATTGATAATCAATTGATGTTTCTCGAGTTTCTCGTCGTTGAAAGCATTCCTCAGTGATCGAATCGATTAAACTAGCCGATCTCGTTGCCAATCTTTGTCTTGATACATTTCGATCAGCAAACGTTTTCCCAATTTCCTCTTCTTGTTCCTTTGGTGGTTGTATCTTTGAATAGCTTTGCTCAATTTTTGACAAACTTTGAATAAATTCTTTAGCTTCCACCTCAAGATATTCTTCTTGTTGTTCAGAGAGAATAGCTTCAACGTTTTGTTCTTTTGTTGATTGATTTTTCAAGGAAATGTTTTGTTGATTGGTTACAATTCTTAATTGTTTCTCTGCTTCAGCTTTTTTGGATTCAAAAACAAAATCAGCAATCGTTTTCCCAGTTTTCCCATCATCAAATGAAATTGAAAAATTCGTTTCGAAATTTATTGTTTCTAAAGTTGGAGCTTTTATTTCAAGAGAGTTCAATGAAAGATCAACATCAGAAAATGTTTTTTCTATCTTTGCATCTTTTGAAAGTGTCTCTACAAACGCGAAAGTCTCCTCAGATTTCGGTTTTACATTTTCAATGCCTTCAAAATTGATTCGATCAGAAGATTTGTCTCTCTTTAAAACCTCCACTTCTACACGACTCTCCAATTTCTCAAGCTTTTCCTCAGCAAGAATATCTTCTGATTTCAAAGCCATCATTCTTCCATCAACCGTTTTTTTGCTCACCTCTTTGTGCGATTTCTCAAAACCAGCTTCTTCATGAGCTTTCCCAATTCTTGACTCAATCACTTGATCTTCAATTTTCATCGATTCACACCGTAAACTCTCGACAATAGTTTGAGTTAATGGTAGAATTCGTTGCTCATCAAAGTGTTGCTCTTCTGGTCGCACGAGCTGATCAACACCGGCCAATGTCTCGGATTTCTCTCTTGTGTATTCAATAAAGTTCTCTTCTCTTTTCTCAAGATTCCCGATGGCGATCGATCTCAACGCTTCCTTGATTTTGTCACTTTGAGTCATTGATTGAGTGGCCTCAATGGCCTCAGTGGCCTCAATGGCCTCAGTGGCCTCAATGACCTCAGTGGCCTCAATGACCTCAGTGGCCTCAATGACCTCAGTGGCCTCAATGACCTCAGTGGCCTCAATGACCTCAGTGGCCATCGTGGTGTCCTTGAAGCTCCGCTCAGCCACATCAGCCTCTTTCTGTGCAAGAGAGGCTTCATGAGAAGCCGATTCTTCAACATTTCTCAAACTTTGTTCTTTCATTGAATCTTCCACTGTACTCGCTAAAGTGTCCAAAGTATCCTTAAGAATTTCTTTCTCAAAAACACTCTTTTCAACTCTCTCAGCTGCCACTTTTGAGCCAATCGCCAAAAAGTTTTCCTCTTCTTTCGCTTCTTTCATTGTGCTGACAATTTGGTGTACTTGGGTGTGACTCATCTCAGAGATTGTCATCAAATCTCCTTCAGAAAATGCTGGTTGAAGATCCCCTGAAAACACTTCATCAAAAGTCGTTGTTTCTTTCAACGAAACCCCAGCACTGGTTTTAATGAGATCAATTCTGCTCGCAGAAATTTGCCCAGATTTCTCAGATTTCTCAGATTGTTGAAGAGAAAGTGTGAGATCTGTTTGTTCAGCTTTTATTGCATTTGTATCAATCTTTTCACTTAAAATTCTAGTTTCTGGAAAACTTTTCTCAATTTGTTCATTTGATTGTTGTGGTGTTTCGATGGTTGATCCAATCGTTTCAATGTTAATTTCTTTCTTTGAGAACTCTTGAAGATCTTTTGATATCTCATCTCTATTTCTCTCTACTAGTTGTTGTTCTATTTTTTGAGAATCTTTTGAGAATTGATTTTCAAATAAAATCTGGGTATTTATTTGTTCAATTGATTTCAATATTGATGTTTTTTCTTTTAATTTTATAGGTATAAGAATATCAGATTCAAATTTGAATTGCTTCTTTTGAATTGATGAATCTAAAGCTAAATCTAAAGCTAAAGATTCTTCTGTAATTGATAAAGTGTTCAATTCCTCAGCAATATTTTCAGATTCTTTCATAATCTTCTCTGATTTTTCGCTAGAAGATTGAGACTTAAGAAGAGTGAAAAGTGATTCTTCGAGACTTTCTCTAGATTTCAAAGCCATTTCCTCTTTTAACGACTCAACCATCATTCTCTGAATATCCATCGCTTCAACTCCTTTCACAAAATCGTCCGAAGCTTCGATTCTTTCATCACTTGGCACTGGAGCTTTTAATTGAATCTCCTCTTGTTCAACGAATGTCATTTTATACTCTAAACCCTTTTCCTCAAATGGTATCTCCATCTGAACACTCCCAACAGCTTTCAAACCCTCTTCAACCATTTTCACGCTCAAATTGTTCGACTCCTTTCTGACTTGTGCAAAAAATTTGCTTTCCTCTAAATCTTCCTCTTTTCGTCTTTCCAATACCGATCCATAAACGTTTTGTTTTTCAAGAATATTATATTCCTCAATGAATTTTTGAGATAAAATCTCATTTGGAATCGTTGCTTGAGTAGAGATCACTTCTTCTTCTTCTTCACCATCTTTCAACAAACTCAAATCAGCTTCTAATTTATCGTCAGAGAATCTTTCACTTGATTTCTCTTTTTGTATTTCTTTGAGCTGTATCTGTGTTTGTTGATTTGACTCAAATTCTAGTTCAAAATCAGACTCTAATTTCTGATTCGATGGGGCTAGGACTTGTAAAAGTGATGGGTTTTGAAGTTGATTGATTGGCAGAACGAGTCTAGCTTCATCTTCAACATTTGTCGATAAACAGAACAAAGTCGTCTGTTCATCACCGAATTCTTTCAACGATAATTCATCCTTGACAATTTCCATTTGTGGACTTAATTTGGTGAAAGCTTTAGCTTCGCAATGATCCAAATGACGATCAACATGAGCCTGTTCAGTCGTTGAAGCCAAAGTGGCAAGTGTCGAGCTCTCTTTCAGTCCTTCATCAACATCTTTTTGAGTCCCGACTTCTTGAGCTTTGTGTTCAATGCTAGCATCGGTAGCTGATTCTTTTAAAGTTAAAGCTTTTACAGAATGAGCTTCAACAATCTTTTTTGAGTGATCAATTTGTAATGAAGACTCAAGGCTTTCTTCTTTTCTAGGTGTTAAGAATGAAATAGCTAAATTTTGATCAATTTCTTCAAATTGTTGTCGAATTGTACTTAATTGAGTCTCAAGTAATGGCTCACTTTGTTGAATATTTGCTTGTTTTTCTTGAAAAGGCTTGGAAAATTGAGACTCAGCCTCTGCAATTTGATCCGAGAATCTTGCGATTGTTTGAGCTTTATGTTTTTGAGCAAAATCTTGACTTACAACTTGTTCTGATGACAGTGATAACTCTTTGAATATCTCTGTTTTCTCATCTTTTGCTGAAATCAAGTTCAATTCGATTATTTCTACTGGATTTGGGATTGGGATTCTGTTCTCAGCTCCCAGTTCTAATGCTTTTGTAGACACTAAAGCCAACGTTTCTTCTTCAGCAACTTCAGGAACTTCAGGAACTTCAGGAACTTCAGCAACTTCAGCAACTCCAGCAACTTCAGCAACTTCAGCAACCTTAGGAACTTCAGCAACTTCAGCAACTTCAGCAACTTCAGCAACCTTAGGAACTTCAGCAACTTCAGCAACTTCAGCAACTTCAGCAACCTTAGGAACTTCAGCAACTTCTTCAGCAACTTCAGCAACTTGTGCTCTCAAAGTTTCTCCAATTCTCGGCTTCTCATGTTTGAGAATTTCCGTAGAATCTTGTGGAGACTTTGCCATTTCTTGCACTTGAAGTTCTACTGAAGATGTTTCACTTTGTCGAGACGTTAGTTCAGCTTTCAAAGATTCCTTTAAGAGTTGATCTGACAGTTCTGATCTGATCTGACATTTCTGATCATCTCCGATTTTCTCTAATTCTTTCAAAGTGTCAATTGATTTCTCTGTAAAAGTAGCCTTTCCACTAGTTTTTGTTATTGGAATGCCTCTTAGAAGAGTGACTGCTTCTTCATCGATCCCTTTTGGTCTCTCCAAGAATGAGAGATTCAACGCGAGTTGCTTTTCCTCCAATAATTGTTCTTGAACACTTTTTGAGACATTGATTTTTTGTCTTTCTTGTTGGCTAAGTGTTTCATATTGTTTTTCAGAAAAAACGAGTTCAGCATTGGTTTGAATCGCTTGATCAGAGAATTCCCCAAAGCTCACTGCTTTCTGTGCTTCAACAAAATTCCTTAAAGCTTTCTCATTTGATGAAGTCGTTAAACTCTGTGCAGCGTTGATCGATTCCTCTTTTGTTTCCATTAGTTTACTAGAAACACAATGTGATGCTTCTGAAATTGACAATCTTTTCTCAGCAATTTTCTCAACAGATTCTTTCGACTTCATTGAAATGATTGTTAACGATTCTTCGTTTAAAGGTTCAGCAATATTCAAAAAATCTTTACTTTTCAATTTCTCGCTTTGAATCCTCTCAATAGAGTCTTTATTTTCGACATTTCTTTTCACTAAAAGCTCTACTCCAGAAATTTCACTTTGTTGAGTGGTTAAGGTAGCTTTAAGTAACTCGTTTGGAATTTGAGAAACAATAGAAGAAGTTTCTTCGACTGTTTCTGGCTTAGTGATAGGTTTTAATGTTTCAATCGTTTTCTCTGTAAGAGCTGAAAGCTGTATGCTAGTTTGAGGAGTTGAAAGCCCAGAGAGAATTGTAGATTGTTGTTCAACGGAATCTGTTGGTGTTTCGAAGAAAGCAAGATTCACAGAGAGTTCACTCTCTTCAATCGATTTCTCTAGAACTTTTTGAAAAACGCTTTCTTTAGGTTTCACCATTTCAGTTGCAAATGCTTGAAGCTCTGCTTTAGTTGCTGAGAGCTCTACTTCAGTTGCTGAGATCTCTGCTGGAGTTGCTGAGAGCTCTACTTCAGTTGCTGAGATCTCTGCTTGAGTTGCTGAGAGCTCTACTTCAGTTGCTGAGAGCTCTGCTTTAGTTGCTGAGAGCTCTACTTCAGTTGCTGAGAGTTCAATCGATTCTCTGGCTTGTGAATCCGTAAAATTTACAGATTGTTTCTCTTTCTCTGTAACTCTGACTTCTTGACTTGTTGTTCCAGTGGATAGCTTTGAGAAGATCTCTTCAATTTCCAATGTCTCTATTGCTTCTGACAATTGACGAGAGGCTTTTACTGTTGTTTCTGAAATTGGAACTTCACTTTCAACAGTGGATTCTTTAGATCTCATTGAAATGATTGTCAACGACTCGACATTTCTTGGCTCACTTGTAGACAACATTTCTTTGTTCTTTAACTTCTCCATCGCTAATCTCTCAATGGAGTCAACTCTAGCTTCCATTTTCTCATTCACCTCAACATTGACAGTATCAGTTTCACTTTGTGAAGTCGTCAAGCAAGCTTTTAGCAATTCTTTCGGTGTCTGAACGGCTGAAGTTTCCTGTTGTGATTGAGGTTTTATCATGTTATTTTCACTTTGCGTCAACTTTTCGACAGAAGCTGAAAGATTAGAGTTAACTCTCGGCGTTAAAATCTCTTTGCAAACAGTTCGATCTTCCTCAAACGAGTCTCTCGGTGACTCCAAATAAGCGAGATTCACGAAAAGCCGACTCTCCTCAAAAGATTGCTCTCGAATTCGATGAGAAACGCTTTCTCGTGACTTCTCCGATTCACTTGCATAGACCACCAAATTGTCTTCACATCCAACAAACTGAGAATCAGATTTTACAAGAGAATCTGAGAACTGCCGACTTGTCGAACTTGCCGACTCCTCTAGAATTTTCCTTTCATCAAACATTTTCTCAATTACTTCATTCGAAGATTTTGTAAAAGTTTTTTCCATTTTTGCATTTTCATCTTTAATCTCTACGTGTCGTGTAATTCTTTGAGCTTCTTGCAAAGCCAATTTCTTTTCTTTTCTTTCAGCTATTGAATCTTTTGGTTTTATCGTAATAATTGTCAAAGATTCATCGCTTTTTGGCTCATTTATATTCAATCTTCCCTTCTCTGTCAACTTCTCGATTTGTTGAGTGTCAATAGAGATTTCTTGTGAAGCACCACTTTTCCCAATGTCAACTCCAACAATATTATTCTCACTGCCACGGGTTTTTAATGATGTTGTAGCTTTTTCTGGCACTTGAGTAATCAAGCTTTCTTCTTCAGCTACTTTAGCAATAGTACTACCAGTTTGAATTGAGCTTTCAGCTAAAGTAGATAGATTTTCCTTGTCCATTGATGAGATTTGTTGAACCCTCAAACTTGCCTCAACCTGATCCCTTGGTGGTTCAAGATAGATGAGATTCAAGGAAAGATTACTTTCTTCAAAAGATTGTTCTCTGAATCTTTTCTCTTCACTTTCTTGTACCTTTTGAATCTTTGAATCAAATATTTCCCTTTCTTGTTCACTTGAAAGCTTGAACTCAACTCCGATTTTCTCATCCGAGAACTTGGCTGACTCTTCGACTTTCTCTATGAGCTTCAAATCTTTCAAGATTTTCTCCTCCGAGAACTTAGCTGACTCTTTGCCTTTCTCTATGACCTTCAAATCCTCCAAGATTTTCTCATCCGAGAACTTAGCTGACTCTTCGACTTTCTCTATCAGCTTCAAATCTTTCAAGATTTTCTCATCCGACTCTCGATCAATTGAGATTTCTCTTTCGATTGTTTCCATAAAAGCTGTTACAGTTTGAGATGGAGTTTGAATCAAAATCTTTTCCTCAACTTGTCCCTTTGGCTTCATAGATACAATTGTCAAAGATTGTTCATCACCTGCTTCTTTAGCTGTGAAAAATTGTTGACTTTTTAATGGTTGTCGAAGAGTCTCTGCTGTTTCTTTTTCTCTTTCTCTTTCAACAACTTCATTAACTTGAACAATCACCGAAGAATCGAGGCTTTGTTGAGTGTGAAGATCAGCTTTCGCCAAGTTTTTTGATGAATTGACCAGTGAACTTTGTTCATCATTTGTGTCAGCTTTGATTTTCATTTCGGCATTGATTACTTCTTGGGGTGAAACTTTGAAATCTCCAAATGTTTTGGGTTTCTCTACTTGCTGGAATTGAATCGAATCCTCAAAACTCTCAAGTTTTGGTCGCTCTAAACGATAAAGATTCAAATTCAGTGTTTCTTGTTCAATCGATTCTTCTCGAGTTCTCATTTTGATCTCTTCTTTGTTCCTTATCGCAAAAGTTTGCAAAGTTTGTTCGGAGAGTTCATTTACTGAAAGATTTTTGTCAATTTTAGCATTTGAATCGGAAAATCTAGCCGATTCAAAAAGTTCTTCAGAAAGATTCAGCTTTGTCTCAGTCTTTGTCTCAGTCTTTGTCTCAGAAATTTGAAAATTAGATAAATCTCGAGTCATTGAAGTTTGATCTTCTTTTGTTTCAATTAAACTTGAAGTTCTTGAAGGACTTGAAGGACTTGAAGTTCTTGAAGTTCTTGAAGTTCCTGAAGTTCTTGAAGTTCTTGAAGTTCCTGAAGCTCCTGAAGAGACTTGAAGTTGAAGTTCTTGAAGTTCCAAAGCTATTCTTGAGACTTTCTCAGCCGTTTCATTTAAAGGTAACATTGAGACAAAAGTCATAAAATCTTCAGTTTTCGATTCTTTTGCTTTAAGCCTTTCAGAGCTCTTTGAAATCTCTCGTTTCAACTCTTCAGTTGAAGAAGAAAACGATTCAGCAACTCGTTCAACGTTCATTTCAATTGATGAACTTGAGCTCTGTTTCGCGGAGAAATTTGCTTGAAGAGATGAAGGGATTTTGAGGAAAGAGCTTTCCAATTGCTCTTGTTTTGCCTTAATCCGAAACTCAACGCTGACCGTGACTTCACCTGGAGCTTGAAGACTTCTCTCGGAGACAAGTTGTACATTTTGTTGAATCGTTCTGGCTTCTTCCTCTTCTTCTTCCGCTTCTTCCCGTGATTTTAAATAACAGAAATTTAGGCTTAAATTCTTTTCCTCAAAAAGTTGTTCTTGAACTGATTTTGAAGTATTATTCTGTTGGATTTTTGAATGAATCACAGAAATTTGTTCCATTTGGTCGATTGCTGAAAGAGCTTGATCAGTTTTAACAAAATTATCCGAGAAAGTCGCCGATTTTTGAAGAGTTTCTCTTTCAGCAAACTCTTTACTCACTATTTCTATTGGTAAGTTTGAGATCTGTTTGTGAATTGTCGCTTTTTCTTCTTTTGATTGGAGAAATTTCCCATCAATCATCATGGGATTTGCAATTGCAATCAAATTCTCTGCTCTCAATTCATCAGATCTCATCGAAATGATCGTCAACGAGTTCTCTTCAGTCGACTCTTTTGTGGACAAATTCTCAGAGCTCTTCGATCGTTGATTCAATGAGCGATGAATGGATTCAAGAGGTGTTCGTGTTCTTGCCAACTCTTCAATCTCTACACCAATCGTGTCAAATGAACTCGCTCTGGTGTCAAGCTTTGATTTACTTCTTACAATCGATTTCAAAGCTTCTCCAGCCTCAGCTAGAGCTTCTTTCGATTGAATTGTGAGTCCAGTTGTGACGACTTTTTCAGAAGTTTCCTCAAATTGTTGATCTTCTCTGAAACTTGTCCCAATTCTCATCATCAACAATTTCTCTTCCTCTTCTATCCTTTTTTCAGTCAATCGTTGAAGGTTCACTTCCAAATTGCTTTCATCAAACGAAAACTGTTTAGCTGATTTAGTGACTTTGATTTTCTCTTTTTCTATTGTTTCAATGGAAATCTCTTCTGAATTTGTTCTCTGAAAGCCTTGGCTTTCATTAGCTTCAGTCATTGCTTTCAAAGAAAGATTCAAAGAGAGATCCAAAGAAAGACTTTCAATATCTCTCTGTGATTCCAAAGATGTTCTTTCGATTATCGGAGATTTTGTTGATAGATTCAAAGGAGAAATCTCTTCTTTACTTCCCATCATCGAAGGTTTTTCTTGTTCTTTGTACTTTTCACTTAAAATTGTCTCAACTTTCTCAAAACTTTGCACCCGTTTAATGATTGGTTGTTGATCTATGATCGTCTCTTTGCTTTCATTTGACGACAAAGCTTGTTGATCTATCGTCTCTTTGCTTTCATTTGTTGACAAAGCTTGTTGATCAAAAGATTTTGAAGGTATTATCTTAAAGATATTTGATTTTACAAAAGATTTCCTTTCTGTCAAATCGAAATCTTTTGAAGTTGTAGGAAAATGGATAAATTGCTGAGACAATGACTTGATTTCAGTCATTTCAGTGATTCTTTGTCCTTGTTCACTTGGTGATTGAATGTATCCAAAAGAAAGCATTGAATCGATACTTTCGATACCATTAACTTCAATGTTTTCTTGTAAATATGTTGACAGAATTGCTTCAACCCTTTCATTGTCTACTTTTTGACTGACAAGTTTGATTTCAAGTGATCTTTCTATTGATTGTTCTATCGATTCAAATTCTGTTTCCATGATTTCAATAGTTGAAGCTCTTGTGAACATTTTCGATGATTCAGATTCGAGTTCTTTTGCCTCAAAAGTGTGTCGATTCAACATTTGACTGAAAGCTTCTTTAGTGGCCTGAGATTCTTTGAGAAGTCCTGTTAGAGAGGTAGCGATGGCTGAAGCTTGTTCACTTTGCTGTTCTTCAGCCAAACTCTCAAAGTGTTCAGCTTTACTTGATTCTTCAACTTCTTTGGCTCTAGATTCTTGAAGAAATTCTGTGAGAGAGGCGGTGATGGTTGAGATTTGTTCAACTTTGGAAGTTTTGAGAGCTTCAATCTCAGCTCTAGAACTAGATTCTTTCACTAGCGAGGATTCAGTCTTGAGAGCTTCAAAGTGTCCGGTAGACCCAGCTTCAGCTCTAGAACTAGACTCTTTCACTTGCAGTGTTTCAGCTTGTTCAGCTTGATCTCTAAATTGTTGAACTAGTCTTTCTTGTTCCCGCTGTTGAACGGTTATCTCGTGTCGAAATCTGTGATCTCTGAGCTCAATCCTCGTCGCCCTTGCCTCTCCATCTTGTTGTCTTCTCCTCATCGCATATTCATATTCTTGGCTTTCACTTCTTTCAGTCCTTACTTCTTTCAACAATCCGCTCAATGCTGAACTGATCTTTATGATTTGTTGACTCTGAAGATCAAGTGAAAGACTTTGTTGCAGCTTTCTGACTTTCTTCGGTCCTTCGGACGCGGATCTCGTCCATCGAATCATGGCCGTTTCACTCAAAACACTAGCATCTCTGAGCTCAGCATCAAGCGTTGATTCCTCATAAACCGATCGGATTTCTTTCGACTCTTGCGTCATTTCAATTGTTCTTGTTTTGATTTCTTTGTGTTCTTGTTCATTTTCTTTTTCTTGTTCTTGTTCTTGTTTTGATTTGTTGATTTGTTGTAATTGTTGTTGAATTCTTGTTATTTGTGGCTCTTGCGCCATTTCTTTTTGTTGTGCTTCTGAAATTTTGAAATTGTTTTGTTTATGATATTTATTTTTGGGCTAAAAATCATGCATGCAGAATTGATCTCCTAATTGCCTGCTGTCTAGTCTACACTAAAAAAAAAGGACGATTACTATGGATTGGGAAAAGTGACTGACGGGTTTTCGGTTTCTATTTTGTACTCCATTATCTCTCGAGCTCAAGCGCAAGCTCAAGGCTCAAGGCTCAAGCAAGCAAAGATCAACTACAAAGTGCAATACATAGTACAGTATTGCTCTTAGGGTTTCTGCTACAAATCTAAGACTACATTATAGTACTGTAGCTTTAGTACTGTCCTAAAGTACCTAGATTACTGTATTGCCTCGTAGCCTTTCAGTCTACAGTAGTGGCTACGGTACTAGCTTACTTATAGATTCATAGCAGAAATACAATTTGTTCTATGTAGGCTACAAGGCAATACAGTAATCTAGGTACCTTAGCACACTGTTTTTCTAGCTCTGTAGCTTTAAGCCAACAAGTACAACAGGCTGCAATTGCCGTTTACACTTCAAGCAGCTGCTTTCAACTAATTCTATCCACAAATTGTTCAATTCAAACCAAATCAACTCTTAAAAGTCTTCTAAATCTTCAAGTACTTTGTCTTAAAGTACTTAGAGTCTTAAAGTGCTTAAAGTACTTAAAGTACTTTGTCAAATCATGACAAAACCTTTTCCAAAACCTTTCCAAAACTTTTTCTATCACTTTCCCAATAGTAATCGCCTCTTTTTTTCTTTTCCTTTCTGTAGACACATGCAAAGAGAGATGTAAAAGCTAAGTGAGCCGAGTCAAAAAAAAGGGTAACCGAAGCAAGAAACAGCCGTAATAAAAGTCTACCGTATAAAAAAACTGAACTCATACAAAAAACAAAAGTAGAAATATTCTTGCGAGAAAGAAAGAAAAATGAGATTCATCTTTGTTAGCAAATTTGCCAAAGATTTTTGCTTTTTCCAAAGTTTTTGCAGTACTCGCGAATCTCATCTTTCTCATGTAAAACCTCGAATTTGGCGAAACGGCCAATTTTTGAGCCTAGAAATCATTGAGAAATCATTGAGATTTTCTGATTTTCTGATTTTCTGATTGGGAAGTGAGTGAAACGAGTGCTTTTTTGATTTGAATTGATTTGAGACGAGCGAAACCCCCGGATTTTCATACGGTAGTCGAGAAATTGAGGGGAATTGATGACAAGATTGACAAGATTGACAAGATTGATAAGATTGACTTGAACACAAAGAAATGATCGAGCTAGCAATCAAACTGTAGCTAGTAGCTGTACGTAGCCGTAGATACAGTGTACGTAGCCATAGATACAGTATTCTAAGTACTGGAGTACTTTAATCGTAAAGGATTTCATCGTAAATCTCCTCAAAAATCTCCTCAAAATCTCCTCAAAAATCTCCTCATAAATCTTGCCATCAACCTCCAAAACCCAATACGAAACAAAGAAAAAGCACCCACCTGTCACAATATGCGTACTCGCTGTGTCCATCACGTACTCATCCGACTCGTACGTGGCATACGAATGTGTTTCGGATCTTGATCGCCATTCGTCGAAACCCTGTCGTTGCATCGCTTTCAAGCGCTCTTCTTCTCTCCACCGTTCTTCATAACTCTGCCAACCGGCCAAACGGAGCTTCTTCAATGCGTGCTGATAGTTTCCCCAAACTCTTCGCAGCACATAGAAGACGGTGATCTCGGCACGTTGCTCTTTCCTTCGCAGCCGCACCTCTTGTGAAAGAAGTTCATCATTTATCTCAATCGACTCCCACCTTGAGCTCAGGTGGAAGCCGAGTGACCGCACCGCCACTAGGGGACATGTGTGACACGCGTGGCCATGTAAAGGCAAAAGAGCGCGAAAATTTTGCAACACTAGGGACTTAGTGATCTCGACGCACGAAGCGCTGCTGGTGGAAGAAGAAGTGTTGATGTCTGTGAGGGTGTCTTTTGTGAGAATGTGAGGTGAAACGTGCAATGTGTTTTTGTGTGCACGCCAAGGGGGACAATTGTTTAGGGGGAAAGGGGAAGAGCTCAACTTGTTGCATAGGGATCGAACCCTAGGTTTAGGAAATTCAAAAGATTATTCACAGCAACGAGTTTAGCTCTCGGAAAGCTATGGATTCAATTTGAGTCTTGAATGGTGTAATTCAAAAGTTCGTTATTCGTTAGAGCTAGAATATCCAAAGGCTACAGGGCTACAGTATCCAAAGGCTACAATATCCAAAGACTACAGTATCCAAAGGCTACAGTACCAAAGGCTATAGTACCCAAAGGCTACAGTATCCAAAGGCTATAGTACCCAAAGACTACAGTACCCAAAGGCTACAGTATCCAAAGGCTACAGTACAGCTAGACTGCTCAGCTTTTTCAGAACCTTACTTTACGTTGAACTTTAGTCTTTTTTACCCAACTCCCCTTCTAACTTTGAATCCATAACTTCCACTCTTTCTCGTTAAAAACTCTTTGCTTAATTCGCATTTAACTGCTTTTCCATGAAAATACCGACCTGTGACTTCTTCGACGAGTTCTCCATGCACTTGTCCATGCAGTGTTCCCGTATTCTTCATGACGACAGCGCACGATTCAACCGCGTCTCCATACTCGACCATTTTCGATGAAACTTTACTCTTTTGCACCTCGGACACTTTCGATTGAGCCATTTCTGATTTGACACCCCGTGACAATGAGAGGGTTGATGACCAAGATCTTTCTTGGAAAGCTGATCCGGTAAAGCTGGCGGATCCCCGATTTGGTGTCTTTGCGATCCCTTCGGCTGATTGATCGTTCAACCCAGGTCTCTTCTGTAAATAGATGACCGCTATTGCGTGCTCTTCGCCCAATTCCCGTGCTCGATAGGTTTCTTTGGCTTTCGCTTTACTGCTCCAAACTTTTGTGACTTCCTCTTGTTCACAGGTGAATTTTGAGAGTGATGTCATAAAATTGATGGTCTCTTTCTTACGCTCAGCTCTCTTCACTTGCACCTCTTGCTTTGTCTCATTTGCGATTTCAATGGTTAACTCGAAAACAGAGTGCGATTCCTTTTTCATCAAATCGACAAGTGTCGGCGATCCACCATTCATTTCCTCACTACTATCCGATTCGAAACGTTGAACTTTTCGAATCCTCTTTGCACCTTTCAACTCAATGCCCTCTTGTTGCATCGAATATTGTCCACCCTCAGCTTCAGTCTCAATAAATTTCGCTTTGTACTGTTTAGCCTCCTGGACTTTCTGAATCACCTCAACAACTTCTTCCTCATCTTCTGAATCGAAAACTCTCCCTTGTCTCTTCATCAATCCATCACCCTTCAACTCTTGTCCTTGAATCTCCATCTCAAAACCTCCACTCATCAAGACCTTTTGTCCATGCTCGACAATGACTCTCTCAAAGTCTTGCTGTTCAACAATTTGTTGTCCAGCACTTTGCAATTGCATCGATCCCTCACTGCTTTGTACTTGTTCATTTTGAAGGAGTTGTTGAACAGCTTGCTGTAGTTGAACAGCTTCTTTTTTCTCTTCTTGTCTCTCTTCTTGTTCTTCTTCTGTCTCATATCTTTGCGCTCTTCGCACAGTGATCTCTTCTTGGAATCTCTTTCCTTTCTGTTCCATCTCATGTCTTGATCGTTCTTCTCTACGCAAACGTTGATGTCGAAGCGCAAAGGTGATCATGTGCACAAGGGGCACTGCGTAACGAACAGTGAAATCGGAAGTGTCCTCTCGCTTCACCAAATCACAATCGGCGAACACATGTGCACACCGCTCTCTATGCACACTTTCATCCATTCCCTGCTCTGTCTCGTGTCTTTGCAATCTTCGCATTGTCCCCTCTCCTTCATAGTGGATTCCCTCTTTCTCTAGATGGTATTCAGCTTTTTCTGGCTCTAGTTTTCCCTCCTCAAACTCTAGTCGATCCACATAGATCTTCTCCGATTTCTCAACAGCTAGTGGACTTGGCGTCCGATCTACGTGATCCTCAACATGGAAAGTCTCGATGGCGGGCACTTGATCACCCACTTGTTCATAAAATTCGTCGGCTCTTTCACCGATCACATAGGTTTTCAAGATGTTTGTCACATCTTCGATCACCTCGATTTCCACGTGAGTCACTGCGGTCAGCCGTTCCTCATCAAGAGCATTCAAATCAGTCAGCAACTTCTTTGAGACCTCCGTCAAGTAGTCCTTCTTGCTCTAAATTTTTGATTGATTGAAAATTGATCGAGACGTATTAGCTCGATCTTAGCTAATTCGTTTTCTTGGCCTCTTAGCGAAAGGCGAAAGGCGAAAGGCGAAAGGCGAAAGAAATTAGTTATTTTTTTTGGTTTATTCATAAGTAAGTGTAGGAGTTAGGGTGACGAATTCTGACTAGAAGCTGCTTTAATTATCTTTTAAATTAAAAAATAGTTGACCTGAGATTAGCAGTGTGAACTCAAACGAAATTAGGTTGTAAAAGGTTGACACTTTTGCGATTATTGAATAAAAGTGTCCTTGTTCCCGTGTTTTTTCTCTTTGATAGTTTTTGGGTCAGTCATTTAGCTACAACTTTGATCACACCCTCAATTTGCTATAGCCGCTCTGAAACTGAAACTAGTGTATCCAATCTTTTGAAAAATAGGTACCGTTATCATTTCTAGACCGCTCTTTCAGCATTAGTAGGGGTTTTGGCTACGCTTGGGCAACTATCGTACTCAAACTGTTAATTTCCATTTGCTCAGTTAATGATATCTAATGTCAATTGAGCTAATCAAAATTGAGCTAATCAAAATTGAGCTAATCCCAATGAAAACTGGCTTGGTTTGAATTGAAAACGAAAAAATGTTCTTCTAATATAGGCTGACAGTTTGAGTACGCTAGTTTTCGGAAATAGATTTTGGAAATAGATTTCTTTCGCCTTTCGCCTTTCGCCAAGAGCCCAAGAAAACGAATTAGCTAAGAGGATAGGCTTCTAAAGCTAAAGGCTTCTTCTAAAGCTACTGTAATCAGATTCCTTTTAGAAAAAAAGGCTTAAATGGAGAATAACTTGAATCAGAAATCAATCTCAGATCAGAAATCAATCAGTCTCTTTTTTTTTCTTCACAAACCTGTCCTTCTGGTACATCCAATGTGGCTTCACGTTCAGCTTTTGTTTCCCCATTCTCAATCAAAGTGATTCGGAATTTTGATTCTTGACCCTCTTCAACGATTAGACTTCTTTTACCGATTGTAGTTTTAATCTGAAAATTATATGGTTTGCTCAAAGATTTTTCACATTTTTCTGATTGATTTCTTTTGGAAAGTTGAAAAAGAAAGCCAAAAAGAAAGCCAAGTTTTGTGATGTCTAAAGCCTTACGAATAGATTGAAGTAATCCATTGTGCATGTAATGACTGATATGAAACCTTGTAATGTGTGACAGTATCTCGAACAGTCCAAGCACTTGACACACAACTGTCGACAGTGATCAAATCGGCTCCCACAATTTTTTCCATTCTCAACTTTCCTTCAACGGTCGTTCGAACAACGGGAGGCCCTGCAATGAGAAATTGAGAAAAAGCTAGAAATTTTGATCAAACAAAGATCAATAAGATCAATCAAAGATCAATTTTGATTGACCTTTGATTGCTCTTATCAAAATCAAAAATCGATCAATCAAACTAAATATTCAAACCTTTAGTCTGTTTTTCGTAAACGGCTTCCGTTTCCCGAACAGCTTGACGTCCATCTGTTGATGTGTCTCGTGAAGGACCCGATTGAGGAGAAACCCTTGAAAACTCAATAATCAAACTATAAACCAATTCCGATGATTTCAATCCTACTACAATACTTACCCATATTGTTGTTGTTGTTGTTGTTGTTGTTGTTGTTGTTTTTGAGCCAATGGTGGCGGTGCGTGTTGAACGGGTTGAATGCGGATGACGTGAGCGTTCTCATGTGTTTGTTGAGTGGTCGTTGATTGCGCGAATTGTTGTCCCGATTGAATGGGGAGCGCTTTCGAGAAAGCCGATCGTCCATTTGGTGGCGATTGATGCGAGAAAGGGATCGCATCAGCTGAAATGAATGTAAGAATAAAAAAAAGTGACAAAAGTACATCATAGAGTTGAACCAAGCAAGGAAAAGTGTGCAAGTTATGGCACTCGTTTTTCAAAAAGAGACACTCTCTGCAAGTGCACAGCATTCGTGAGAGAAAAAAGACAGAAATACATTGTTGTGAAAGAGAAATTGTGGGATTTTTTTGAATGGATTTGGTTAAAATCAAAAAGGTAAAGCCTAGTCTAGTCTAGTCTAGTCTAAAGCCAAGTACAGTACGCTGAGTGAAAAGATATTCAGCTGATAAGCTTTAATCTTGTTTGGTGAGATAGTTTTCCTTTATTAATGTAGATTATCTTCGTTTTGGTGTACTTAAAACTACTGTAATCTTGTGTAGGAAAGGTGTCGTAATCCCGTATGCTAACGTAGCCCTAGATATGTGTAAATGGCTACCGTAATCCCGCGATCTTTTGGTGAAAACAACTACCGTAAATACTGTAATAGTCGCCCACCCCTCTCGTACAGTCGCGTAGTCACAAAAGTTTTTTAGTATTTCATTTTTTTCAAAGCGCCCGTACTTTCAAAAAATGCGTCTTTGGTATGAAAAAATAGCTGAAATTCAGAGCTATTTTTTGATACCTAAGCGCGCATTGTAGCATAAACCAAGGTCGAGAAAAACGCGTCCAAAGCTAGACTACGCAACACTCCACACCGTCATTATGGGGGTGGGCTACTATTACAGTATTTACGGTAGGTAAGCAGATCTTTAGACTTAAGACTTTTGAGCTGAATTTCTTGCATTAAAATTGTAGTACTGTAATCGTGGCACACACTTGATGCATAAAGTGAAGTGTTTTCTAATCTTTTTTGTTTCATTTCTCTACTTACAAGCAGTCACGGTCATCGACCATTCTGACAAATCGAGAGTGTCATCTTCTGAAAGAGAAATGAAGAGTTAAACAAAAAAAGGAAAAGGATAAAATAAAATGAGAAAAAAAAAGTTAAATATTTCTGTATGAATGGGTGCCAAGAACAAAATATTTGATAAATATTTGATAAATTTTGATAAATTTTGATAAGATTCTTTTTCAATAACAATACCCGAGTGTCCTTGTCGTTGACCGGGTGGTGGAGCGTCGGCTCGACCCCGTGTCCTTCCCCGACTCGTCAACATTTCAACCTAAAGATGTGTTGCATTATTTTGTTGGATATAGCTTACAGTATTGTGTATAAGACTCTATTCTACCGTAATTCAATAACCATATGCAAAAGATCCCATTTTAAAAGCCCACCTCCGAGGCCTCACTGTCAGTGGTTCGATTCGTATCCCAAGTCATAATCGGTCCCGGTCTCAAGGCTCCTCCATCCTGAAATTCAACAAATTAAAGTAAATAAATTAAAGTAAACAAATTAAAGTAAACAAATTAAAGTAAATAAATTAAAGTAAATAAATTAAAGTAAACAAATTAAAGTAAATAAATTAAAGTAAAAACTTAAATGTAAATCAATATATTAGGTTGATGCAAAAGCCTTTTTCATTTTTTTCGTACTTCTTTTGAAAAATAACAAAGTCATCAATTAACCTATGGTTTGCTCTAAATGAAAAGTGTTTATTGTTGAATTTCCCATCTTTTTAAGTCAATTTGGGTTCACTTTCAAGCAAATTCGAGAGTGAAAACGGGTTTTTCATAAAAATCTATAAAAACCTCTATAAAGAAATTGGCTGAATCAATTTCTCTGAAAATCTGAAAAAATATCGAACTTTTTGTGCTCTATCTTTTATTTATTAACATCAAGATTGGTTTCCTTAGCTAAAGCGTCTAAAATGCATCATCGAGCCGTCGCCTTTTTTGACTACCCGACTTCAGGCTCTCAAAAAAATCTAGACATAAGACATTTTAAACTCGTTTTAATGTGATTTTGCAGAAAAATAATTGGCCTTTCGAATGCAATAAACCGTTGTTCAATTGGTGCATTTGTTACTTTTTAACGGAAGTACGAAAAAAATGAAAAAGACTTTTGCATCAACCCAATAAATGCTAATTATAAAAAGAATTCTAGACTTACTTTTGGATTAGATGCAAATTTCGCTAGTAAATGTTACCATTAACATTTACTAGCGAACTTTGCATCTAATCCACAAGTAAGTCTAGAATTTTTGGGAAAAGATCTACGAGTGGCATTTGTAGAAATAATTAACTAGTTTAATATAATATAATAAGTTAGAGTTAAAGCTATTTCTAGATTTAGACTTAGAATCTAGCTTTTATTCAACTACCTTTGTCTGAATCGTTCTTTGCACGGAGCTTGTCGAGGCGGCTTTTGTCAACTTTTGAGTGGCTCGTTGAAGAACCGGTGATGGTTCTGAAAGTTTAGAATAACTGTAATATTATTAGAAGGAGTTTATCTATAGTTTCTATAGTTGTCGATAGTTTTCTATAGTTTCTATAGTTTTCTATATTTTCTATAGATTCTATAGTTTCTATAGTTTTCTATAGTTTGTCTATAGTTTTCTATATTTTCTATAGTTTTCTATAGCTTCTATAGTTTCTATAGCTTCTATAGTTTTATATAGTTTGTCTATAGTTTTCTATATTTTCTATAGCTTCTATAGTTTCTATAGCTTCTATAGTTTCTATAGTTTCCATAGTTTGCCTAGAGTTTCAAAAATCAACCAGCTGAGAGTCTCAACAGATCAGCGGTTGCTTCATCAAGCGCCGTCGATGATGAGTGAAGATCTTTCTTTCGTTGCGCTTGTGCTGAGCGTTGATCCGACGGGAAATAGGGGCGACGCTGGAAATGTTTGTTGACTTAATTGGAAATGTTTGTCGACTAAAGATAACAAAAAATCGATTTCAAATGATATTCTAAATTGAAAACTGACTTGTGGTGGTGGATGAGCGCTTTCGGCTCTCGTTCGCGGCTCATCCGAGAAATGCACCCGAGGGCCAGCCGGCACCGAACCTGAATATCAATATAACTTAAAGAAAAAGGTAGATTTGTATAGTGTATAATAAGTATAAAGATTGGAAAGTTGCTTTTGAAAGATGGTGTAAAAAATTGATCATTGTGATCGGTTAATTAAAGCAATACCGTCTCGGATTCGCTGAAAGCGATCGGGCGGCAAAGATTGGCCGTTCGGCATTTTATCCGCTCAATCTCAAGCTCTTTGATTCAGAAGCACATTTGAAGCACGCAAAAATGAAGACAAGCGATGAGTCTGGGGGGAATAGAATGAACTCTCAAATCGATTGCGGCCAGAAGAAATTGGGTTTCGGGGGAAAAGTGAGTGAATGATGGTCCTTTTCGCTCGATTTTATGGCACGCCTGTTGCCAATCAAAGTCCCGATTGTGGCTGGGCGAGGTGTTTTTTTTGCAGGATTATCAAGATATTGTTTGAAGAATTCGACTAAGAAGATTTTCAAATAATCGGTGAATCGTTCGTGGTTGTAGGGCAACAGTTGAATGAATCGTTTAAATCGTTAAATCGTTTAAATCGTTAAATCGTCGTCTACAGCACCCTACAGTCGATAAAATATCGAAAATTTTCGTGATCGATCGTAAAAATTTGTTGGAAAGTAGTGAGAATTTTGGAGATTTCACGTTTTAAGCTCTGAAAAGAGCTCAAATTTTTAGACGTTTTAAAAAGAAAAACAAGGAGCAACAGCTGACACTCGGGGGAGGGAAAGACTGAGAAATTGAGGGGAAAAGTCAAAGAACATTGGAGATTTCGAAAAGGGAGGATAATGGGATGAAGAAGAATTTGATTTGTCTATTTTTTGAGGAAACAAGAGGACATCCAGGTACGGATTGCAATTTGAGAACCAAAAACAAAGTTGATTTTTTGAGAGAAGTTGAAATAAAAATGAAGGAATGATCCTTGAATTGTTGTCAAAGAAAGGCTAAAACGTGGCTTTGGCTTAAGGAAAAACAATTTGAATACCGTATTCTCTCTAATAGTAGTGCACTCTTTAATAGTAGTGCACTTTCTAATAGTATTGCGGTCCGAGAGGGGGTTTGAAAAAATAGTAGCGCACCCTCGAAAATCTGAATTTCTGGTGCTTCTTTTTCATCTGAACCTTTTTGACTTGATGTTTATGTGACATTCTAAAGCTATTCAAGCAAGCAAAAGTTGAAGGCAAAAGAGGCTTTTTTTCTTCATTTATTAACTATTCTTCACATGAGAAAGTTAGCAAAAAATCTCAAATTGTTGTGCAAAGTGCAAAAAAATCTTTTTGTTGTTTGTCAAGACACAAATTGTCAACTCGCCGGCCCACAACTGTACGTCAAAAGGAGCCAAAAGAGTCAAAGGAGTACGTGAAAGAATTGCAAGAATTTTTGGTACAAATCTTATATCTGTCTTACTTTGGTAAATGATAAAACTCTTTAATAGTAGTGCACTCTCTAATAGTATTGCGGTCCAGGAGGAGGTTGAAAAAATAGTAGTGCGCACTACTATTAGAGAGAATACGAATAGAGAAGTAGATTAGAAATGGATCGATTAGAAATGGATAGATTAGAAATTTGCTATAAGAATAGCATTTTCTTCTTAGCTAACAACTCAAATACGAGTTCAATTGGTTCAATTGGTTCAATTGGACAGGATTGCAGAAACTTTGATAGAATTTTAGCAGAAACTTTGATTTTAAGCTTTCTAAGATGACATTAGCTTTAAAAAAAAAGTTTTGTGAAACAACTCATGATCCTTTTACTTATCTATTTTTATGATTGATGTCTAATCTTTTTTTTTTGTTTTAACTTTTCCCCTTTCACTAAACCAACCATCTCTTTCTTGTAGCGCTTCGAGATCCCGGCGATACTGCTCAATTGTAGCGAAATCTGGGTCCTGGTGTCGAATGAAATCCTCTCTAAATATTATTTGTTTCTGAGGTTTTAATAAGTTTATTAATCTAACAGCTAATTGGGAGTATATGGTTTTTACTTTAGAATTCTCTTCTTCTACACTGAGCCTGTTGAAAGCTGTTACCGTAAATACTGTAATAGTACCCCACCGCTCTCGTACAGTCGCATAGTCGCAAAGCCTAGTCTAGTCTAGTCTAAAGCCAAGTACAGTACGCTGAGTGAAAAGATACTCAGCTGATAAGCTTTAATCTTGTTTGCTGAGATAGTTTTCCTTTATTAATGTAGATTATCTTCGTTTTGGTGTACTTAAAACTACTGTAATCTTGTGTAGGAAAGGTGTCGTAGTCCCGTATGCTAACGTAGCCCTAGATATGTGTAAATGGCCACCGTAATCCCGCGATCTTTTGGCGAAAACAACTAAAGTTTTTTAGTATTTCATTTTTTCAAAGCGCCCGTACTTTCAAAAAAATGCGCCTTTAGTATCAAAAAATAGCTGAAATTCAGGGCTATTTTTTGATACCTAAGCACGCATTGTAGCATAAACCAGTGTCAAGAAAAACTCGTTCAGAGCTAGACTACGCAACACTCCGCACCCGTCATTATGAGGGTGGGCTACTATTACAGTATTTACGGTAAATCGATTGCGAAATAACTTTTTAATACATAAGATTACAGTAGATAAAATGAAATTTCTCGACAGGTTAGAACTTTAAAAGTATTTGTATTTGTATATCAGATATCTATCAGATATTATGTATTTTAATTTCCAATACTAGAGCTGAATATACACTACTGGACAATGAAATATCATATTTGAAAAACGATCGTCATTTTCGCGCGTCTGTAACTCCCTTGTCTTTACCGCATTTCTAAATATTAATATTACCATTGTGTAGCCCTTGAAAAGAGCTTTCAGAAAATGTATAACACTAATAGTTTAAACTCAAAGACAAGGGAGTTACAGACGCGCGAAAGTGACGATCGTTTTTTCAAATATGATATTTCATTGTCCAGTACTGTAGCTATTGGTTTGAGGAGTTTGAAATGGCGTTGACTTTCAAGAGTTTTTCTAAAACGCTTAAAAGCTCCATATAATTATTGTTTGTATAATCAAAAAGGTCTATCATTGTTCTACAAAATGGCTTTTGAGAGCTACTGAAAAGCTTTTGTTTTGTAGATTTTATGAGCTTCAATGAAACGAAAGCAATCAATGACAAGGAGTCCTTTGACTCGTTCCTTTCACATAAACTTAATTTAATGTTAAAACAAAAAAAGGTAGAGCACATTTAATTACACAAGTACGTCAATAAGTGACCTTTCTAATGATACCACCTGCGTGTCATTTGATAAAAACTACTCAATGTTATAGAAGTTTCTTTGAAGGTCGGCGCCATTTCATACTCCCCAATCCAGCATTACCTAGCCGATTGTGTTGTTGAATGTGCTTGTTCGACTTGTTGTCGTGATGGAGAATCGGCCGCCCCAAACCAACGCTAAATTGATTGTTGAATTGAGATCATCATCACTTATTCTTTCATAAACACTCTCAAAACCCACCGAAAAGAATCCTTTCTTTTGTGCTGGATCCATCTTTTCTTTTCCAACTTTCCTCTTTGCTTTTTCTTCTTTTTTCCTCGATTTCTCCTCGTCTTTTTCCGCTTTTTTCTGCTCTTTCTCTAACTTTTTCTGTGCTTTTTTTTCGGCTTTTGCTTTTGCCTCAACAGCTTTCTTTTCGAGCCTAAAATTTGGGGATCTGATACTTTTGTGGTCTACTTTTGTTGTCTACTTTTGTTCTCTACCTTTCTTGTCTACCAAAGTTTTTCGAATCTTTTGAAACTACTTTACTTTCAGCTTTACTTCAGCTTCATTTACACTCTTTTTGGCGATTATTGACGACAACTTTTATAGAGTCGAATACTGTACTGTAATAATTTACTTGTAAATTTGCTATCTGTCATTTGCTATGTGCACTCATCTGTGCACTATCTGCGCACTCATCTGTGCACTATCTGCGCACTCATCTGTGCACTATCTGCGCACTCATCTGTGCACTATCTGCGCACTCATCTGTGCACTATCTGTGCACTCATCTGTGCACTATCTGTCATGTGACTATACAGTCTAACAGATATGTCAAAATTGAATCTCAGTCTAAGCTATGTCTAGTTTAAACACTGTTAATAAGTTCTAGAAATGTGCATTTTTGATCCGTTCTTTCATTGGTGTACAGCGAAAATTCACGTCTTGAGCCCTTTAAAATCGTTTTTTTTTTTCAAACGCTTTTCTCACTAGATAGATAAAGCTAAGCTTTCTCATTAGATAAAGCTTGCAAAATGTTATTCAACGGTGAAAAAAACGTTTGAAAAGATTTGAAAGGGCTTAAGACGTGAGTATCCGTTGTACACTTATGGAATGGACCGAAGCTACACTTCTAGTAACTTCTAGTAACTTCTAATAACTTCTAGTAACCTCTAGTAACTTCTAGTAAGTTCTAGTAACTTCTAGTAACTTCTAGTAACTTCTAGTAAGTTCTAGTAACTTCTAGTAAGCTCACAACTTAATCATGACTAACAAGGGCATATGATACAAGTTGTATAAAGCAATAAGCGCTAGAAAAAGTGGCATATAATAAATTATAAAAGGATCAAATCATTTCTCAATAAATCCTCAATATTATTAAGATCTCAACCACCAACTTGTCTCTTTTTCGATTCGCACTCTCCGGTGGACTAAGCGGTCGAAAGCCGAGTTTTCGTTTCTCTCTGAAGTGAGCTTTTATTGATTAGAAGTGGAATTTGATGTAGGGAATAGTTGAAGAAGTCGTGAAAATCGAACTGATAGACTGAGAATGGACACAGACCGACCACAGACGGACATAATTTGGACAAATTTGGACAAACGGACAATCCTAACGAACAATCCTAACGAACGCTAACGATGCTGCTGATAATGCTTCAGCTCAAGCTACACTGGACTTATCTTTGGGGTGGATTTTGTATTCAAAATGGAAACGCGCACGTTTTGGTTTCATTTTTTAAACAATTTGCCAGAAAGGGGACGTTTTTAATTGAGCATAAAGTACACGAAATTGATCTATTGCTGGATAACCGATCAGACAGGACAAGACTGACGCAAGACAGAAACTAAAACGTGTCAACTTTCTAAAGCTACCGTAACGTTAGCTATGTTATCCAGCTATTTATACATGTCAGCTTTTATAGCTTTTATAGCTTTTATAGCTTATATAGCTTTTATAGCTTATATAGCTTTTATAGCTTATATAGCTTTTAAAGCTTATATAGCTTATATAGCTTTTGTAGCTTTTACAGCTTTTATAGCTTTTATAGACTTTTCAAGTCTCTCTGTAAATTGCAGAATAACTAGCGACAAGATTACGGTAATTTTTGACACGTTTTAGAAAACAATTTTAAACAAGACAAGACAATGACAAAAGGACACCTGCAACAGTCGGGATCTTCTCCTTGTGCATCAATATATTCCATCCACGGATCATCAACTCTCAACGGCGTTGTTCTCAATGGTTGTGCGGAGAGTGAGCGTCGATGTCTCGGATCATCCCACCACGCCACTCCTCTACTCGGCCGTTCACTTTGTGCTCTCCTCTTGTACTCTGATCGATCCTCTAACACTGATGGCAGCGATTTCGAGCTTCTTCTATGCAATCTCTGCCTCGTTCGACTTTGTCGACTCGTTTTCGTCTGAATCTCGTCATCCTCATAAATTGTTGTACTCAAAACGGACATCGTGTCTTGACTCTTGTTCCTTTTTCGATTCATCAAGCGACAAAAAAGACCATGCTTTTTCTTGTCCGTATTTTTTGTGGACCCAGTCTTTGTGGACAACGAGAGACGAGAGCTTTTGCTAGAAGTGGCAGTGGTGTAGCTTTCAAGAGACGAGTCTCTAGATCCATGATCACATGGTTCAATCTCTCGAAATGATCCAGTAGTCTTTGAGCGATTAGGTGAATTGGATGAGAGAAGATCTTCGGAAGGTGGACGCTTCAATTTACGGGGATTCTTATCGAACACAGGCTTCGGGATGTGAATCGATCCGGGCGTTTGGCCATCGTCATCTAGATTCAGATCAGAGCTAATGGATCAGAGCTAATCACGGTCAGGAACTAATCTAGGCATTAGCTTTCTAAAAATACTTAACTTGTACTATTTTAACAGTTAAATCAGTAATTGATTCATACCAAAATTTCCTACAAGTTTGTACAAGGTACAAGTGTTAGCTCAACAACTATAAACCATAGAAACTATAACTATAAAGGCCTATAAACAAGCTAAAGTCTAAGCCTTTTTGCTGCACTCAACTCCCTTTCTAAACAAACCATTATTTCTAGTAGCTGGCGCGTAACAGTCTTTTCGACACGACGAACAGTAGAGGCGGGCCGCCATGAGGCTGGCCACCTGCACGCCTAGAATCACATGTTGCCAATCAAAATCACGACCGAAAAGAAGAGTGGGCGCTTCACGAATAGAATAATATTTGAGGAGACGATCGAGTAGAGGAGCGCCCAATGATATCACTGGGAACATTTGAATGGAAGGGAGGAGGGGAGGAGAGCCGAGACCTTGTTCGTGTTAGTAGACAGAAGAATAGGAATTGGTGACAAACAGGGGGAACGCGGGTTTAGTAAACACAATAATTCCAGTGACAAGCGATTTGGTTATTTTGGAAAAAGCTTTGGTTCAGCTACTCAATAGAAATAAGGCTAGACAACACACTGATTGGGTAAGAAGTCACAATTGTTCGGTAACCGCTTGATTCAGTTACCTGACAAGGACAGGCTTTAATGGGGGTACTTTAAACAACAAATAAAATATTGTTCTTATAATATTGTTCAGACAAAAATTGAATCAAATAAAGTCTAATTGTAAGTCTAAACACTTAGCCCAGTAGAGTTAAGCTAGTAGAAATCAATCACAAAAAAAAACAAAAAGCTACAGTATCTAGATCTCTTAAAATAATTAGAGAGGAAAAATTATAGATCGATCAAGAACTGATTTAGCACAATGAGGTTAAAATCAATAGTTTGGGTTTAAAAATTCAATATCACTAACAATTTCACTTAGCTTAGTAAAGCCAAGAAAGCACAATGATCAAACAAATCGCTAACAAACACTTGACTCAATGAAACTAGTCAATGAAACTAGTTAATGAAACTAGTTAATGAAACTAGTCAATCAAACTAGTCAATCAAACTAGTCAATCAAAATAGTCAATCAAACTAGTCAATCAAACTAGTCAATCAAACTAGTCAATCAAAATAGTCAATCAAACTAGTCAATGAGTCCAATTGGGCTTTTCAACAATCTTGGCCGTAGACCAATACAAGTTGAATTGAAAAAGTCGCAAAAAAAAACACTCGTGCAATGATCATTCGAGAGAATCGGATGGGATAGAAGTGAGAAGTGGGGAAATTTGGGTAAAAAAGGGGCTCGGGCTCAACTCGGGATTTCCGGGGAACACATCGATGGTGATGTGTGAGCGATGAAATGAAATGGAGAAAAGAAATCCCTTGATGAATCTCGCACAAATCTTTCCACAACTCTAAAAGATCTCCGTATCACCGCAACGAAGGCAAACATTCAAACCCAGGATCTCCTTTTTGTTTCTGCCTTTTTGCCGAGTTACAAGCTGATGAGTGGGTGGATGGGGAAATGTGAGAGGAAAAAGGGAAAATCCCATTTTCTCTAGTTTTTTTTTTCAGTGCGGTTAGATAAAGTTCATTGATTAGATTAGAGTAAAATTTAGTTTAAGATGAATTTTCTTTTGGAAACTCTCGTTAAAATCGAATTTGGAAAGTTTAGTAAGGTCTTGGCTGAAAAAGAATCGCAAAGGAAGTGATCGTAGTCCAAGAAAGGACAAAGATAAGCTTAGAAATTGGATAATTTATAAATATTATACCTTTTTAAGATTTATTTATGAGAGCTGAAAAAATGAAAAGATTAGAGAAAATGAAATGAGAAAAATGAAGGGATTTCAAGAAGAAGAGATATGTGAAGGGATCTAGGGAGAAGTACATGGGTACAATATGTAGCACAATATGTAGTACAATATGTACAATTACATAGTACAATATGTACACATGAACTAGGTGCCGTGTATCACTCATTGGAATCAAGGCGATTATCTCGCCTAAATTCGAATTTTGTGTAAGCACTGGAAAAATCAAGCTACCAAAATTTGCATTCAAATTAGTAAATCAATAATTTGAGGGACTTAACCGACTTGATTCAATAGATAGAATCTTCCTAGAATTGTGGAGTATCAAAGAATTGATATTGATATTAATGTTCATATTGATAAAGAATCCCAATATCAATGTATAATAAAGGAAATAGATTGTGAATTCTGAAAAGTTAAGGTATTGTATTTTCATACGAATTTTAAAGTCACATGAAACGATTCTCAAACTGATTAGAATGAAAATCATCCTATATTTCTAATTCTAAAATTTCTGAATTACCCAGAACATAAGCCTTTACTGTTTCAAAATCGATATAGTCAAGGGTTTCAAAAATACGGAAAAGAGAGAGGGAAAGAAACAAGGAGAAGGATAA